CATGGTAACATGCCACGGTGCGTCCTCATGCTGACAGCATGGTAACGTGCCACGGTGTGTAGTCATGGTGACAGCATGGTAACATGCCACGGTGTGTAGTCATGGTGACAGCATGGTAACGTGCCACGGTGCGTCCTCATGCTGACAGCATGGTAACGTGCCACGGTGCGTCGTCATGGTGACAGCATGGTAACGTGCCACGGTGCGTCGTCATGGTGACAGCATGGTAACGTGCCACGGTGCGTCGTCATGGTGACAGCATGGTAACGTGCCACGGTGCGTCGTCATGGTGACAGCATGGTAACGTGCCACGGTGCGTCGTCATGGTGACAGCATGGTAACGTGCCACGGTGCGTCGTCATGGTGACAGCATGGTAACGTGCCACGGTGCGTCGTCATGGTGACAGCATGGTAACGTGCCACGGTGCGTCCTCATGCTGACAGCATGGTAACGTGCCACGGTGCGTCCTCATGCTGACAGCATGGTAACGTGCCATGGTGCATCGTCATGGTGACAGCATGGTACTGTGCCACGGTGCACGTCATGATGCACTGTGGTGGGGTGCCACGGTGAAAATGTGAAAATGAAGTGGAAAAGGCTTCCACACTCACCCACTCACCACGTGCGCCTGTCTGTCTGAAGGACTGTGGCGTGTCCCTCTGAGCGCAAGGACGCCTGGCTGTGCTGACCGCTGGCCCTGCAGTGTTGGCGTCCGGTAGCACGTGCACCTCCACAGCCTGTAACAGGCCTGGGGGTCTTCGCATCAGCCCGAGCATGGTGCTGTAGAGGCCGAGTACAACGGGGTGCTGGGTCTGGGTGTGAGCACCTTACTGCGCTGGCGTGAATGGACTCTGCCCCGGAGGTGGAGCCGGTGGCCAGAGGCAGACCTGGTGCCCGGGGGCGGAGCCGGCAGCTGGCTTGCTTCCCTTGCAGGCGTCTGGTGGTGTGCTGCCCCCTGGGCCTGACGTCCCCCTTTCCAGACCAGACGGCTTGCAGGGAGGAGAGGTGAGGGGTGCCTGACCACGCGCGTCCCAAGATGACGTCCATGATGGCCACGCGGATGGTGGGAGGAGGGGGTGGGGCTGAATTGCCTGCAAAGGGTTAAGTCCCAGGCGATGCCCCCAGTGGGCACATGAGGAAGCAGCTGGCAGCGTCTCTGGGCGGGGCCCTCCAGCCCACAGGATCAGCTCCAGCCAGTCTCCAGGTTGTTGAAGGGAGATAGGCTTGGCCGAAGGGCTGGGCAGACCCCCAGGCAGCTGGCACGGGCGGCTGTTTCTTGGTGGACACTTTGCCGTCGGGTCGGGTTGGTTCCAGCGCAGCAGCTCCGTGCAGAGCCGGCAGGCCCGGCCATGTGGTGTGCTGTTGCGGAGCGTTGAGGCTGCAGTGCAGTGAGCGCATTACCACTGCAAGTCAGGCCCTTGGGGCTGGGAGTCCCCATGACACGTGTTGCCCTTGCTTGCCCCGGCTGGCGGTGGAGTCCCTCGTGCACAGAGCCCCCTGGCTGGACACGGGCTCCCGACTTCCTTGTCCCACCTGCTGCTGCTCCTCTGTGGGTTTCTCCTGGGGGCCCTGGTATGACCACCCCACCCTGCCCTGGGTCAGGGGCGGGCAGGGGCACAGCGCCCGGGTGAGGCTTCAGCACCGGCTCTGCTCAGCAGGTCACGTCTGGCTGGTGAAAGCCCTGGAGATGGGACGTTGCCTGAGTGCCAGGCACGCTGGCTCCTTGCATGCCAGGGGCTTCAGGCCCATGAGCCTGTACGCTGCTGTGGGTACCTGGGGGACAGCACCCACAGTGTACCATGTGCGCACGGTCTGGAAGGACCCACAGCTCAGTGGTCCAGCCTCTTGACCGGCTCCTCTGTCGCAGGCCCCTGCAGACCCCGGAGCTCCTGTGCCCTTGTACAGCCCTGCACGCTTGGCTCCGGTGAGTGGCCCCGCCCCGTGTCTGCTGCTCCCGGTCGCCGAGGGGGTCCGGGAGTCACAGCGGCGGACAGACCCTGGGTTATCATGAGCTTCATCCGCGCTGCAGGCGCTGCCCACCGTTGGGGCTGCTCCTGGGTGGCCTGCGCACAGCTCCACATTGCTGCCCGCGTCTCTGAGCGTGCAGTGGGCTTAGTTTATTTGAGAAGTGGTTTGTTTATCTGAAAGAGTTAGAGAGTGACAGATCTGCCATCCTCTGGTTCACTCCCCAAATGGCTCTGACAGCCAGAACTGGGTCGGGGAAGCCAGGAACCAGCAGCTTCTGGTCTCCCGTGTGCGTGCAGGAGCCCGGGAACTTGGGCCATCCTCTGCCACCTTCCCTGGCCATCAGCAGGGAGCAGGCAGGGTTGGTACTGATGCCACATGGGACCCTGGCGCTGCAGGCAGTGAGTTGGCCCCTGTGCCACACTGTGGGTGCCTCGGGTGCCCGGGCTGAGTCCTGTCTTATCTGTCATCCTTGGTGCCCAGCGCCCTGTCCCGAGGTGGAGCCTGGTTCTGGGGTCCCCTGTGGCTGCCTTCACTTCCCTTGGGGACCCCACTGCTGTGGTCTCTGTGAACACGCAAGTGGGGAGGCAGAGCCTGGGTTCCACTTACCAGGCTCAAATTTGGGGTTCAGAGCCAGATCTTCACACAAAATGAAGTTCAGCTCCAAGCAGGCTCTATCAGGGGAGCCCCAGGCCGGGCGCTGCGGGCACTGCAGGCCACATTATCGGGAGAGCTCCCGGGCCGGGCTCGGCGGGCCAGTGCAGACGGCGGGCCAGGGGAGCAAACGGGAGGGGTCGCTTTGACCAGGGGGAGTGTAAGAAGCGGGTGCGGCTGGGGAGACAGGACTGCACAGTGCTGAGGAGTGCTGTGGGTCCTTCTGGGCCTGTGTCAATCCACACCACTGCTCAGCTGAGGAGCGGGCTGCATTCCGGTCCGCTATACCAGCCACCTCCCTGGGCCTCCTCTTGGGCCAGCCTCACCCACCCTGGCTGGACCTTCCTCCACTGACCCAGCTGGCACCCTAGGGAGGCTGTCTCTGTGCCTGGAGACTGGAGCCTGCCCACAGCTGGAGGCCGTCATTCCACCCCAAAGGCTCCTGCCAGGTCTGATCCACTCCTTGAGCCCCTGTGCCTCAGCCCGGGGAATGTTGTGGAACCTGGGTTTCCCCCAGCTGCTTTTGCCCTACCAGTCTCTAGGGGTCTGAGGGACATCTGGCATTCGGCTGCCCTCGCCTACCATGGTGGATTGGTCCCATGTACCCAGCGGCAGCAGTCCCCAGGAGCACTGTCCCAGGGAGCACTGTCCCCACCCCCAGGAGCACTGTGCCCCTCAGAGCACTGTCCCCCCCCCCCCAGGAGCACTGTCCCCCTCAGAGCACTGTCCCCCCAGGAGCACTGTCCCCCCAGGAGCACTGTCCCCCCAGGAGCACTGTCCCCCCCCCCCCAGGAGCACTGTCCCCCTCAGAGCACTGTCCCCCCAGGAGCACTGTCCCCCCCCCCAGGAGCACTGTCCCCCTCAGAGCACTGTCCCCCCAGGAGCACTGTCCCCCCCAGGAGCACTGTCCCCCCCCCAGGAGCACTGCCTGTGGTTTGATGCACGGTAGGCTGGGCCTGCCCTGCTCAGTCTCAGCAGCCCAGTGCCATGTGGCACCTGCTGCTGGCGCTGGGCTGAACGCTGGTCGGTTGGTAGTTCCCGGGGTAGGCTTTGTGCCAAGTTGCTGGTCCTTCTGCAAGCACTCAGGGGCCGGGGCGGCTTGTCCCAGGGCGGAGACGGGACCCTGCGCCCACTGTGTTTCAGGCCCCTGCCGTCTCCGGGAGCACGAGGCTGGGGCGGATCGGCCAGAGGAGATATGCCCCTTTGAACTAGCCTCGTCCCCGCTGGTGCCAGGATGCCGCATCTGCCCACGCGAGCTCATGGATACGGTGGCCCACCCCACACCCGTCAGCGAGACCAAGCGCTGCTGTGAAGCGTGACTGCCGTGAGGTGCCCGTGGTGGGCCGAGCTGGGCACCTGCCCACAGACTGAAGGGCTCCTCATGCGGCGAAGAGGGGAGGGCCGGCTGCCCTCAGCTCTCGTGTGGGGGACTGTGCACCCCAGCTGGCCTGCGTGGTCCCCGCAGGGGTGCCGAGGGCTGCTCCAGGGCCCTGGGCCTCCCACGTGGCCTGTGCCACTGGCCAGCAGAGCTGCTGATGGCTGGACAGGAGTGGGCCCCTTTGTCACGGCTCTGGAAGCTGCGTCCCCCAAGTCCTCCCCCACCTGGGGACTCCAGCAGCTCCACTGCCCCCAGACTCAGCTTTAAGGCTCCCTTGACTGTTGCACTGTGGCTGTCCCTCTAAGGGACCGTGGGGAGGGGTGGCAGTGCCTCGGCCCTGGGGGAGACTGTGCAGGCATGCCCTCCGGAGAGCCCTGCTCCACGCGTGTTCTGCACCTGTGCTTGCCCGGGGCCATGTGTTCTGGGCAGCGGCTGCCCTTGGGGTGCCCTCCTGGGGCGCTGGCCCCTCACCCGCCCACCCTCTCCCTGGCCACAATCAATGGAAGAGGCTTCGCCTCCCCAGGGGAGCTGCTATTTTTTTCCTAAATGAAACCGTTTCACTGCAAATTGTTAAATAAAATATTTTGCGCTCTTGAGTGCCTCTGCCTTGGTTTCCTTCGTCCTCTGTCGCGAGCCTGCGGGGTGCCCGTCCGCACGGGGTCGTCGCGGTCCTCCGGCCGCCAGGGGCGCTGTGGGCGCGGGGCGGAGACGCGGCGAGGCCCGGGCGGCCGGCCGGAGGTGCGCGGGCTGGCCCCGGGGCCGGACCGTTGCTCGGGCGGACCTCGGCGAGGACGCTCAGCCGTCGCCCTGAGGCCGCGCTGCTTCCCCTCCAGGGCCTCGCGGGCGCCCGGCCATGCGGCGACCCTCCCGGCGCCGAGAGGACCGCCCCCGGCTGCAGGCGCCCCTCGGGCCGGCGCGCGTCCCCGCAGGCGCAGGTGAACGCCGGCGCTGAGCCGGGCCATGCCCACCAGGGCCCCAGCGCCGCGGCCCTCGGGGGGCGGCATGCTCCGGGGGCGGCCCGCCGAGGGAACCCCGGGCCCGGCGCCCGAGGAGCGGCCCGCCCAGGCCAAAGCGCTGACCCCCCGGCCGCCCGCGCGGCCCCGGCTGCAGCGCGCCCTCTCCCTGGATGACCGGGGCTGGCGGCGGCGGCGTGTGCGCAGCGGCCAGGAGGACCTGGCTGCCCCGAACGGGGCCAGTCCGAGCAGGGGCCCGGGCCCGGCCGCGAGCCCCGCGCCCCTGCCCGCCGGCCGCCCCGCGCCCTGCCTCAGCGGCTCCCTGCAGGAAATCCCTGCCTGGCGCCCGGCCCGCGGCGGCCGCCCCTGCTCCTGGGCCAGCGGCTCGGGCGGCAGCTCCCCGGGGCTGCCCAGCCTGCGGCCCCCGCGCCCGCCCTCGGCCGGGGACTTGGAGCTGGCGCGGGCCCACAGCAGCCCGCTGGCCTGTGACGACCACTCCCTGTCCACCAAGTCCTTCAGCCTGCTGGCGCCCATCCGCACCAAAGACGTCCGCAGCAGGTAGGGGCGCTGCCCAGAGACGCGGGAGACGGGGCTCCTCCAGGGGCACCAGCGGGCATCTTCCCGGGACCCACGCTTCCCGGCCCGGGGCCCAGCATCGGCCGCCAGACCAGCGTGCTGTCCAGGCCTGTTCCCCAAGGCACCCTGCCGTGGCCGCGTGGCCTGTGGGGTGGGCGGGAGGGGAGCAGGTGCACTGGGAGCCCCCCACGTCCCATCCAGATGACCCGGGCAGTGGAGCCTGGCCTCTGGGAGCCTGGGCAGGACCCCACTGCCTCCCAGCTCAAAGCGCCCCGGTAATCCTGGGCTGGCGGCTACATCATGCCAGCCTCCGCCTTCACGTGGCCTCCCTGTATGCTGAGTGGATTTGAGAGTCAGGGAGAGAGCTTCCGTCCAGTGGTTCACCCCCCAAAAGGCTGCAGTGACAGACAGGGCCGGTCCAAAGCCGGGAGCTCCGTCCTGGCCTCCCACGGGTGCATGAGCCCAAACACTTGGACCGCCCGCTGCTGCCTTCCCAGGCCACAGACCAGAGCTGCTTGGAAAGTGGGGCAGCTGGGACTCGAACTGGTGCCCATATGGGATGCCACAGCTCAGCATACTGCATCCCAGCAAACCCCCTCTGTTCACCGCTAATTAGGGGGACAGTGATGGGCATGTTGTTGTAGGACCTGGGGGTCCAGGTGCTCTGAGGGCAGAGTGAAGGCGGCCTGCGTAGCTCCCCTGGCGCAGGGGGCGGCCTTGGCTGGGCACTGACCCCGGGAGGGGCCCCCCAGCCACCCCAATGCCTGTCCCTTCTCAGGAGCTACCTGGAGGGGAGCCTGCTGGCCAGTGGGGCCCTACTGGGCGCCGAGGAACTGGCACGATACTTCCCAGACCGCAGCCTGGCCCTGTTCGTGGCTACCTGGAACATGCAGGGCCAAAAGGTGAGGCCCCGGGCCCGGCCAGACCACGCATGCAAGCATATGCATGCACACCTGCCCCAGCTGTGTACCCTACACGCCTGTGTGCACGGTACCTACGCACTGCACACGGAACCCCATGCACGGCACCGGGACGGGGGCTGCAGGTGCTCAGGCCTGGGGGGGGAACAGACCGCCCGGAAAGCCAGGCTGTGTGTCCGCTGCCTGGCGGCTCCGTGGGGCCACGGGGTGGTGGACCAGCTGCCCACGCTGTCCCCAGGAGCTCCCGCCCAGCCTGGATGAGCTGCTGCTGCCCACAGAGGCCGACTACACGCAGGACCTGTATGTGGTCGGCGTCCAGGAGGGCTGCTCCGACAGGTGGGTGCTGGCGGGCGTGGGGTGGTTGTTCTGTGGACGACCCGGGTTCTCCATCCTCCCACCGAGCTGGGTCTGCCTGGGGAGTGGTGCTGAGCCCGGCCCCCGTGAGGGGAAGGAGACCATGTCTGGGGCTTCCTCTGCTGTGCCCACAGGCGGGAGTGGGAGACGCGCCTGCAGGAGACGCTGGGCCCACGCTACGTGCTGCTGTCCTCGGCGGCCCACGGCGTGCTGTACATGTCCCTGTTCATCCGCAGGGACCTCATCTGGTTCTGCTCAGGTGGGCGCCTGCGCCCCGCATCTAACCGCGCCCCGCGTCTAACCTGCCCCGCGTCTAACCTGCGCCCCACGTCTAACCTGCGCCCCGCGTCTAACCTGCGCCCCGCGTCTAACCTGCCCCACGTCTAACCTGCGCCCCGCATCTAACCTGCCCCGTCCTTCCTCCCCCTCCATGCCTGCACCCCGCGTCTAACCGCGCCCCGCGTCTAACCTGCGCCCCGCGTCTAACCTGCCCCGTCCTTCCTCCCCCTCCATGCCTGCGCCCCGCGTCTAACCTGCGCCCCGCGTCTAACCTGCCCCACGTCTAACCTGCGCCCCGCATCTAACCTGCCCCGTCCTTCCTCCCCCTCCATGCCTGCGCCCCGCGTCTAACCGCGCCCCGCGTCTAACCTGCGCCCCGCGTCTAACCTGCCCCGTCCTTCCTCCCCCTCCATGCCTGCGCCCCGCGTCTAACCTGCCCCGCGTCTAACCTGCGCCCCGCGTCTAACCTGCCCCGTCCTTCCTCCCCCTCCGCGTCTGAGCCCCACTCCCCCTGCCCGCCCGCAGAGGTGGAGTGCTCCACGGTGACCACACGCATCGTGTCGCAGATCAAGACCAAGGGGGCTCTGGGCGTGGGCTTCACCTTCTTCGGCACCTCCTTCCTCTTCATCACCTCGCACTTTACCTGTGAGTCGGGTTCGGGGGCTCCCGCAGGGGCGGCCCGGGCGGCAGGGGACTCTCCCTGCAGACATCCGCTTTCCGTAGCCGGTGACGGGAAGGTGGCCGAGCGGCTGCTGGACTACAGCAGAACAGTGCAGGCCCTGGCCTTGCCCAGGAACGTACCGGACACCAACCCCTACCACTCCAGTGCCGGTGAGGCTGCCGCCCCGCCCCGGGACACCCCTGCACCTGGCCGTGACTTGGGGAGACTTCATTCCGGCTCCCTCAGTGCCCCTGCCCCACGTCACCCCTGCCCCTGCCCCAGGACACCCCTGTACCTGGCTGTGACTTAGGAAGGACCCAGCCCAGCCCCGTCACCCCTGCACCTGCCCCACGTCACCCCTGCACCTGGCCATGACTTGGGAAGGCCCCAGCCCGGCCCCCTCAGTGCCCGGCCCCCTCAGTGCCCCCTGCCCTGGTACCACAGGTGATGTCACCACACGCTTCGACCAGGTCTTCTGGTTTGGCGACTTCAACTTCCGTCTGAGTGGTGGCCGCGTGGCCGTGGAGGCTGCCCTGAAGCAGGACCTGCAGGTGGACGTGGGGGCGCTGCTGCAGCAGGACCAGCTCACGCGTGAGATGGAGAAAGGTTAGGCCGGGTCACTCGGGACAGGGTCCACCTTGAGCTGGCCCACGCCGGTCTTAACCAGTCTGGGCGACCTCACAGGGTCCATCTTCAAGGGCTTCCAGGAGGCGGCGATCCACTTCCTGCCGTCGTACAAGTTCGATGTTGGGAAGGACACCTATGACAGCACGTCCAAGCAGCGGACGCCTTCGTACACGGTACAGCCTGGCCGCCTCGCCTGGCCCTGGCGTGGAGGGGTGCTGGTACAGGGCCCAGGCCTAGCCATTCCCCCCCCCCCCCGCAGGACCGGGTGCTGTTCCGTAGCCGGCACAAGGGTGACATCTGCCCCGTGAGGTACTCAACCTGCCCCGGCATCAAGACGTCCGACCACCGCCCCGTGTACGCGCTCTTCCGGGTCCGGGTGCGGCCTGGCCGGGACAAGTGAGTCGGCACGGGCTGGTGGGTCTCACATATGGCCCAGAGCCAGGGGCGGGAGGGCAGTGACAAAGCCTTCACTCCTGGCTTTGTCAGAGGTGCAGAGTGACGGAGAGGGACACTGGGCCAGGAGCTGTGGGGTGGCAGGGCTCAGCAGGCGCTGTGGGTGCTCCGGGATGGGCTACAGCATGGCGCCAGGCCAGGCTGAGGGCTCTCTGGCCTGCAGCATCCCGCTGGCCGCTGGCAAGTTCGACCGGGAGCTCTACCTGCTGGGCATCAAGCGGCGGATCTCCAAGGAGGCGCAGCGGCAGCAGGCGCTCCAGGCCCGCAACTCGAGCGCCGTCTGCGCCGTGTCCTGAGCTTGCCAGGCCGCCCGGGGCAGCACCTGACCAGAGGCCAGCCATCCTGGGACCACCCGCTCTCCCCACCACGCCCATGGCCGGCCCTCTCCTCCCCTCCCCACAGGCCGGTTGGGCACTACAAGGGAGCACCTCCATGCCAGTCCAGGGCAGGGCCTGCACGCCATGCTGGGCACCCACTCCGGCCTCAGGCTCTTGAGGCCGTCGGCATCACCGCTCACGGCCCTGACTGCGTGTGGAGCCCAGAATGTTCAGATGGCGCTTAGATATTTATTTTTCCATATTTATATTTTTGAATAAATGCATATATTGAATGTAGACTCCTGCTGGCCACACTGGGTCTCGGAGGGAAGCTGGGTGCTCTTCTGGTGTCAGCTGGGCCTGCCCAGGGCCACAGGCTGGGGTACTGCCCAACCGCCGAGGGGTGGTGGGCCCTGTGTGAGCTGGCCAGTCCCCAGGAAGTGACTGTGGAATCCAATCTTTGTGTCGCCCACTGGCAGGGAGTCCTGTGTGGGTGGGGCTGTGCTGCAGGGCGGGGACGCGTGTGTTCAGAGGCCCTGGTTCCCAGCTGGCTGCCAAGGACTGCTTAGCAGCGCTGCTCAGCAGTCTGGCTCTTCTGTCGTCAAAGCCTCCGCATGGAGACTCCTTGGCAGCCTGTGGCAGCGTGGCACCATGCCCACCCCAACACCTGTCACCCACAGGCCTTGGCTGCCATGGCACCCACACACACGCCCAGAGGTGCACCACCAGCAGCTCTAGGTCACCCCAGGAGGGTGTCATGTCCTCCCTGACCCCGGCGCTCACAGGGTACAGATGCGGGTGTCCCAGGTGACACTGCCCACTGCCCCTCACACCTGCTCCTATGCCCAGCCTGGCCACTTCTGTGGCCAAAGGTTCAGGAGGCAGCTTGGCCAGGACACAGACACCCGTCCCCCACAGGCTCACTGACTGGCCGCAGCCCCAGGCCTGTGGTGGTCCTAGGGGACTTTGGGAAGCCCACCACCTGCCCAGCTCCCAAGGCTGCAGGGCTGCCCAACTGGCCCTGGGCCCACAGTCACACCTCCCAGCCATCCAGCTTTGCTCCAGCCACACATCAGCCGTCTGTCACACCCTCCTCTCTGGGCACACACCTGGCATACAGATGGCAACGCCACTGCTCGTGACCAAAGCTCCCCACGCCTCCCTCCACCTGGGTCAAGAACACGCTTGTCGGGCCCGGCGCGGTGGCGCAGTGGTTAAGGTCCTTGCCTTGTACGCCCGTGATCCCATATGGGCGCCGGTTCTGTCCCGGCAGCACCGCTTCCCTTCCAGCTCCCTGCCTGTGGCTCGGGAAAGCAGTCGAGGACAGCCCAAAGCTTTGGGACCCTGCACCCGCGTGGGAGACCCGGAAGAGGCTCCTGGCTTTGGATCGGCATAGTATTGGCCGTTGCGCTCACTTAGGGAGTGAATCATCGGACGGAAGATCTTCCTCTCTGTCTCTCCTCTCTGTATATCCGCCTTTCCAATAAAAAAATAATAAAAATAAATCTTTAAAAAAAAAAAGAACACGCTTGTCAGAGGTATCACTTTATCACCACACACGAGCAGCACCCGTGGCTGTCCTAGTCCGGCCAGTCCCAGTGTCCCGTGGCTGCCCCAGGACTGGCAGCCCAGCGTGCAGCCCAGGCTGTCAGGAAAGGCTCGGGCAGCGGGTGGGGCTCCCGTGCCAAGTCTGCCAGCCCGGCAGCTGCGCCCTGTGGCTCTGTGCTCTGCCGGGCCCCACCAGTACTCACACCCGCGCCACAGCAGCCACAAGGCTGGGTGGGGGGCCCTGGGCACCACGGCAGAGCCACATGCCTTCATGCCATGTCCGCAGCGGTGCCAGGAGAGCATTCACACCGGGCCAAGAGCTCTAGCGGAAAAGCCGGAAGGTCCTGGGCAGGCGCCCGTCCTTGCTGGCCAGCGCCGCCTGGATGTGCTCATAGGGGGGCAAGTCGCGCAGGTCGCCCAGGGCGGCCACCGCTGGCTTCCCTCGCAGCATCGTGGACGCCACTCTCCTGATGTCCTCCGGCTTCACTTTGCCTGGCACGGGACACAGACGACATCGGCTCCGTGAGCCTGTGCCCGCACGGCCCCAAGGGCAGCCGCGTAGATGGGAGGGCAAAGGAGGCCATGCTGCCACACTCGAGAACCCAGGAGGGAAACCAAGGGCAGGAGGGGCCGCCGACAGGTGACACCGAGGGACCCCGAGTGCCCCCTCGGTGGGCAAGCTCATGTGGTCACGACCTTCCCAGAGCCCAGTGCTACAGTGCAACCCTGCTGCCCCCCCACCTGGGCACCTGCCGACCCCCACTGAGCTGACTCCAGGAGCCCAGTAGACACCACAGCCACTGCCAGGCCCCCACAGAGCCCGTCACCGGGCACCCCCCACAGGGCCTCGCACGTCCACGGCACTCACGGATGAGCTCACACAGCTCGTGCGGCAGCTTCCTGGAGTGTGTAGCCAGCACCTGCCGGCCCACGTCCTCGAAGATGACCGGCCGTGACTCCAGATTCATCATCAGCATTGACCTCAGCTGCGTCTTGGCTCGCTCAAGCTCCACCTGAGGGGACAGCCCCACGTGGCCCTCAGCGACCCTGGCCCCACGCTCGGCTCCACGGGCCCTCAGCATCCCCGGCCCCACGCTCGGATCCACGCTCGGCCCCAGGGGGCCCTCAGCAACCCCAGCCCCACGCCCGCCCCCACGGGGCCCTCAGCAACCCCAGCCCCACGCCCGCCCCCACGGGGCCCTCAGCGACCCCGGCCCCACGCCCAGCCCAACGTGGCCCTCAGCGACCCCGGCCCCACGCTCGGCCCCACGGGGCCCTCAGCATCCCCGGCCCCACACCCAGCCCCACGGGGCCCTCAGCGACCCCAGCCCCACGCTCGGCCCCACCACCCCAAGCTCCAACGCAGCTGGACGGTGCCTGAGCTCTGATGGTTCCTGACCCTAACGGCCCTAACACCTGACGGCTCTCAGCCCTGCACCCCGGCCTCCAGCCGCAGGCTCCAAGCCACGCAACCGACTCCCATAGGTGAGGGAGTTCTCCCTAGGACTCTGACAGGATACCCAATTCTCTTTTTTTCTTCCATTATTTGGAAGGCTGAGTGGAGAGACTGATCGAGTTTCCATCCGCTGGTCCACTCGCGGACGGCTGCAGTGTCTGGGGCTGGATCAGACTCAGCCAGGAGCCCCACCCGGGGGTCCCCGAGTCCTCAGGCCATCCCCCACTGCTCTCCCAGGAGTGGTCACACTGCAGCAGTCACGACCAGAGCTGGCACCCGTGTGGGGTGCCTGTGTCACAGGCAGAGGCTGTGTGCCCCTGTGCCAAAGCCATTCTGGGACCCCTGCACTGCAGCCACCTGCAGCCCCGGGAGGGCACAGGAAGTGAGCCATGGCACTGCATGGGGGCAGATGTCCAGGCGGCAGCTGCACAAGTCCCAGTTGGCCCACTTCTGGCCTGGGCGAGCAATGGACGGCGCCCATGCGGGAGGCCCACATGGAGGTTCCAGCCTCACATGCCCTCTGCTCCCCGCTGGGCCAGGCACCTGGGGAGTGGGCAGCAGGAGTGCACAGCTCCTACCCTCTCAGGCATACACAATGTCAACTGGCTCTAACGGGGGAACAAAAAACCAACAGCAAACCCAGGCCAGGACGGCCGGGAGGCATCCAGGGCATGGCTCTCACAGGCAGGTCAGGAATGGCCAAGGCTGCACCCGCTCCCCCAGCCCGCACGGCACCCCCCACCGGGGCCAAGGCTGCACCTGCTCCCCCAGCCTGCACGGCACCCCCCGCCCACACAGCACCCCCACCGGGGCCAAGGCTGCACCCGCTCCCCCAGCCCACACAGCACCCTTCGCCGGGGCCAAGGCTGCACCCGCTCTCCCAGCCCGCACGGCACCCCCCGCCCACACAGCACCCCCACCGGGGCCAAGGCTGCACCCGCTCCCCCAGCCTGCACGGCACCCCCCGCCCACACAGCACCCCCACCGGGGCCAAGGCTGCACCCGCTCCCCCAGCCTGCACGGCACCCCCCGCCCACACAGCACCCCCAGCCCACCGGGGCCAAGGCTGCACCCGCTCCCCTAGCCCACACAGCACTCTTCGCCGGGGCCAAGGCTGCACCCGCTCCCCCCGCCCACACAGCACCCCCACCGGGGCCAAGGCTGCACCCGCTCCCCTAGCCCGCACGGCAGCCCCTGCCAGGGCCTCGCTCACCGCGTCCACTGAGCCGCCCATCAGGATGAACTCTTGGGTGAGGATCTCCACCATCTCCCGGACCTGCCGAGCACAGCGAGTGGGGTAAGCCCACGGCCTGTCCTGGAGCCAGCGCCCAGCGTGGGGCTGGGGAGACACGCACCTGCCTCGGGTCGGTGCTGGCGTGAATGCACAACAGGCCCGTGTCCTCGTAGCTGTGATGGAAGGAGGTGGCACTGTACATCCAGTGGTGCCTGGAGAGGACACGGAGCTGCTGGGTCCAAAGGATGCCCAGGTGGGGCTGAGGGGCCGCGGGGCCCAGGGGAGGCCCAGGTGGGGCTGAGGGGCCGCGGGGCCCAGGGGAGGCCCAGGTGGGGCTGAGGGGCCGCGGGGCCCAGGGGAGGCCCGGGTGGGGCTGAGGGGCCGCGGGGCCCAGGGGAGGCCCGGCCGTGAGGATTGAGGGCGACAGGAAGCTACCTGTTGAGCACGTTGAGGTAGAGCCTGGAGAACATGCCCTTGCCAGGCCCGCCGGCCGAGAACGAGCCGCCGCCACCCATCATCATGTTGAGCACGGCGAACGGGATGAAGTCGTCCTCCTGCAGGGCAGGCCGAGGGGGCTAGGACGGGTCCACACGCCGGCCCCGCCCTCCCCACCCGCCCCCACTCACCAAGAAGGAGCAGCTCTCGAGCCCCAGCACGACGTGCGTGAGCTCGGGCATCGGCGTCGGGCCCAGGCTCACGTTGGACATGTCCCTGTCCAGCTGCAGAGAGGACGGGCGTCAGGCTTCGGCCCCAGGCCCGGCCGAGGCGGCCAGCAGGGAGCGGGGCCTGCAGCACCGGGAGGGGCCGCTGACCCGTCCCGTTACCTTGACGATGCCCCCAGTGTACTGCGCCACCGATCTGTCCACGTCCACGGCCTCGGCCACCCCCCAGGCCGGCTGGGCGCCAAGCAGGTGCTTCCTGGCACACTGCACCAGGTGCTCGTGCTCCACGCCCACGCCGGCCAGCACCATGCGGCTGGGTGCGTAGTAGGTGCGCAGGTAGGAGTGCAGCGCCTCGCGGTCCATCTTCGCCAAGTTCTCGGGGGGGCAGAAACGGCGCAGGCCAACCGTGTTCTCCCTGTAGGCGGCCTGGCACAAGCGGACGCATGCGTGATGGGCAGGCTGAGCCCACGCCCCGGTGCCTGGGGGCCGCAGCAGCCACATTCCCCCCCGGGAAACACAAACGGGGGTTGCTGCAGACGGGCCCGAGGCCGCCGCAGGCCCTACCTCGTGGATCATCTCTGTGAGAAGCGGCTCCGGGTCCGGCCGCATGTTGAGGTCTTCCAGCTCAAACTGCACAGCCATGCGTGCCCGCTCCAGCTCCTCCTCTGCGGGGAAGCCCAGGGGGACGTGCTGCAGGCTCGGAAGCGCAGAAGCCCAGCCCTCCTCGGCCCCAAGCCCCCGTGCTGGCCCAGGCCTGGGCACACCGAGCGGGCCGGGAGCACCTGCCCAGCGCGGGCGGGGACCAGGGCCTCGCAGGTCAGCTCTGCCAGCAAGCAGCTGGAAAAGCTTCCCTGGCTCCCGGGACGACGTGTCCACTCTGCGTGTGGAGTCAGGCCCCATGCGAAGGGGCTCAGAAGACAGGCTTATGAGCGGCAATGCCGCGGACGGGACCGGGAACACGGTGAGGGGACGCCAGGCACGGCCCCCACGCACACTCACTTCCGGGTGCAGCTACATGACACTGTAGATGCACGGGGAAGGGTGGACGGCGAGCGAGCGCCCTGGCCGCTCCTGATGGGCACTCGGCGCTGCCACCCCAAGGCCAAGGAAGGGACCGGAGACGCGACTCGGACACCCCACACCACGTGGGCCAGGACTGCCAGCACTCCCAGCTGGAGCACCAGAGGCAGGTGTGGGAGGGTCACCCAGGCTCTGAGCCCAGCTCCTCGGCGCTCCAGCTCTGCCCCGGCCCCCCAGCACCTGAGCCGTACCCGTGAGCCGGGGGTGCAGGACCACCTCGGCCAGCAGCTCCACCACTGTGTCCAGGCCTCTGCTGTCCGCAGATACAGCATACATGGTGGTGTCCCTGGAAGACAGAGGAGGCGTGCTGGGGGCTGGCGGGAAGGACCCCCGACCCCTCCGCTCCAAACCCCAGCCCCGGGCCTACACCCCGTCACTCCCGACTCCAAGGTCAGCCGTGGGCAGGCCTGGGGCCCTGTCTGTCCCCACCAGTGTGGGCAGCAGGGCACGCTGCGCGTGGGAGCTGTGTACCTGGACGTCTGGCAGTCACAGATGCCACCATGTCTCTCCAGCGTGAGCAGGATCTCGTCCTTGCTGCTGAAACGCGCCGTGGACTAGCCACGCGAAGGGGGCACGATGAAGACCGAGTGAGAAGGCGGCTCGAGACCAACGCCTCTGCTCGCAGGACACGCGGGCCTTTCCCTCCCGAGTCCCACAGCACGCTGGCCACCTCACCACTGCCTGAGAACAGACTCAGACTGTCCCCGGGGCCGCTGCTGGGCGCTGGTTCGAGTCCCGGCTGCTCCACTTCCCACCCAGCTCCCGGCTCGTGGCCTGGGAAGGCAGTGGGGGGTGGTCCACGACCTCCCGCACCCACGTGGGAGACCCAGACGGACCTCCTGCCCCCCCCACCGGCTCCAGCCTGACCATCTGGGGAGTGACCCGGCAGATGGAAGACCTCCACGGCAACACTGACCGAAAATGCTAGCTTCTCCAGGAAGTGAGCGATCCCGCCGAGGTGCTTGGCTTCGTACCTGGAGCCTGAATTGATCAGAACTGCAAATGCGAAGGGAGCAGGTTAGAGGGCAGGCGGCGGGCCGCGTCCAGCAGCCATCAGGGCGCGTCCAGCAGCCATCAGGGCGCGTCCAGCAGCCATCAGGCCGCAAAGCCCCAGGCTGGCCAACGGCGCCCATCCACCCACCCTGGCCTTCTCCCCGGGGCTGCCCCTGCCCACCACTCACTTCCCACGGTACAGAACTGTCCGAACTTGTTCTGGGAGGCCACGCGCAGCCCGTCGTCCAGCGTGGTGACCTTGGTCTCGAACTTCTCCTGCCCGCCCACGGTGGCGAACACGGGCGTGGGGACGCCGGGCAGGGGCGAGGACAGCGGGACGGCCGCAGAGCCCGGGCCGCTGCTGAAGCGCCGGCGGCCCGGGGCGGCCCACCTGCAAGGCCGGACGCGCGGGCAGCGGTCAGTGCGCGAGCGGCCGCCCGGGGCCCGGGGCCGAGCGGACGACGGCACGGGGCGCCCGGCCGGGCGGGCCGCGGCCCCCGGCCCCGACCCACGCGCGGCAGCCGGGGCCCGAGCCCCCTCCGCGGGCCGCCCGCCCGGCCCCGGGGCTCACCTCGGCCCCCGGCGCGCCGAGCCGCGCACCAGCCGCGCCGCCGCCAGCACCAGCCGCGCCATCTTGCGTCGCCGCCCAGCGCTTCTGTGGTCACTTCCGCCGGCGCGGCGTTCGGAGCGGCGGAAGGGGCGGCCGGAGGCTCGGGGCGGCGGACGGCGGGGGCCGCGGGGCGCGCGGGGCCGGGACCCGGGGGCCGCTGCTGCCGCGCTGAGGCCCGGCCCGCGGCCATGGCCGGCTACCCGCGCCGCCCGGGCGCGCCCCCGTTGTCCCGGGCCCGGAGCCTGGTCATTCCCGACGGTGAGGGGAGCTGGCCGAGGCCGGGGAGCGGGGCCGGGGCCGGGAAGCGGGGCCGGGGCCGGGGAGCGGGGCCGAGCAGGGGAGCGGGGCCGAGCAGGGGAGCGGGGCCGAGGCCGGGGAGCGGGGCTGGGGAGCGGGGCCGGGCAGGGGAGCGGGGCCGGGGCCGGGGAGCGGGGCCGGGGAGCGGGGCCGAGCAGGGGAGCGGGGCCGAGCAGGGGAGCGGGGCCGGGGAGCGGGGCCGAGCAGGGGAGCGGGGCCGGGGAGCGGGGCCGAGCAGGGGAGCGGGGCCGGGGCCGAGCAGGGGAGCGGGGCCGGGGCCGGGAAGCGGGGGCCGGGGCCGGGGAGCGGGGCCGAGCAGGGGAGCGGGGCCGGGCAGGGGAGCGGGGCCGAGCAGGGGAGCGGGGCCGGGCAGGGGAGCGGGGCCGGGGCCGGGGAGCGGGGCCGAGCAGGGGAGCGGGGCCGAGGCCGGGGAGCGGGGCTGGGGAGCGGGCCGGAGCAGGGGAGCGGGCTCTGGGAGCGGGGCCGGGGCCGGGGCTGGGGAGCGGGGCCGGGGCCGGGGCCGGAGCAGGGGAACGGGACCAGGGAGTCGGGGGTCGGGGAAGCGCGGCCGGGGAGCCGGCCTGGGCTGCAGAGAAGGGCCAGGGAGCTGGCCGGAGCAGGGGAGTGGGCCGGGGCGCTCGCTCGCCCGCCCAGCCTGCAGGGTCCGCGGTGAGGTCGCTCTCCATTGTCCCTTCCAGCTCCCGCGTTCTATGAGCGCCGGTCTTGTCTCCCCCAGCTAGACTGTGAGCGCCCCCGAGGCAGGGAGTTGGACTCCCACCTCCTCGGCATCCGGCCCACGTTTATGTGCTATGTGCCCAGCCCAGTGCTGGCCTCGGTGGGGGATACAGGTGAGCCGGGGGAGCCGAGGGAACCCCCTGGCCTCGCCCCGGCCGCCCACCAGGAGCTCAGCGTCGGTCTCGGGGAGCCCCTCTCCCCGTTTCCATCCAGCGTGGTCAGTGCCCGGGGCAGGGGAGGAACCCTGGTCCCGCAGATGACCTGCAGGCGGAGGGTCTCCGGGGACTGGGCCCGTTCCCTGTGGCTGCGTGCCCAGGTCTGGGCCAGAGGGGTATGCCCGCCCAGGTTGGCGAGGCCCCTGTGCTGCAGACCCCAGCCCTGCTGGTGGAGTGACAGCGTCTCTTCGCAGATTTCGGCTGTGCAAAGGGAAGGGGTACCAAGCCAGGCCCCCTGGGGGCCCGGGACGCCCGCTTTGGAGGTAGAGTAGCTCGGTAATCACTTCTCTTTCTCTCCACCTGACACTGAGCCAGGTGCCGGCTGCTGCCTGGCCTTCCGGGGAACCGGGCTGGGTGGGGGGACCCTGCCGGGGCTGCTTTTCCCGGTGTGCTAACAGAGGTGGGAGATCAGATGGAGCGTACCAGAGCGGCGGCTGCCAGGTTGCGGGGCACCAGGCCACCTGGGCAGCTAGCAGCCCCTCCTCCTCGGGCGTGCCTGTGGCGTGGCCAGGGTGCAGGGCCGAGGGCTGAGGCAGATCCGGGTGGTGCTCCCTGCAGTCGGCTCCTGCTGGGGCCAGCTAACCCTCCTGCGCTGGGCCCTGGGTAGAGGTGACCTGGAGGACTCCTTCGGCTCAGCCTTGGGGACCTTGGACGTGTCGTGTCTGTCCTTCCAGATGACAAGCCGGAAGACGCTGAAGAGCCTAACCCGTTCTCCTTCAAGGAGTTCCTGAAAAGCAAGAGTGCTGGCCTGTCCGCGGAGCACGCCGGCCGAGCGCACCCACAGGTGCAGCCGAGCCCTGGCTGGCGGGGCGGGCTTCGGAGCACGCCGCTTCGCTCCTGCGCTTGTGGCACCCTGTTCCGGGAGGCTAGGGGAGGCTTGCGGGTGCGAGGGCCCCGGGGGCAGCTGTCCAGGCTGGGGCAGTCCCAGGGGGGTCGGAGGCTGCCGGGTTAGCCGCTGCCTTCTCCGCCGTCTGCAGGAAGCCTCGCGGCACACGTTGGGGTTCCGGCATACACACCCTGCCCCCCAGGCCACGGGGTACGGGCTGGAGTACTCGCAGCCGTTCTTTGAAGACCCGACGGGCGCCGGAGACCTGCTCGAGGAGGAGGACGACGACGATGGCTGGAGCGGGGCCTACCTGCCATCCACCGTGGAGCAGACCCACACCTCGAGGGTCCCGGGCAGCGGGTCGCCCTGCAGCACGTACCTGTCCTTCCTGTCCGCCCCGTCTGAGCTGGCGGGGCCTGAGTCGCTGCCCCCGTGGACACTGAGCGACACCGAGTCACGGGTCTCTCCACCATCCCCTGCGGGGAGTCCTGGCACCGACTTCGCAGCCCCCGGAGAGTCGCTGGGCGACAGGCACCTGCGGACGCTGCAAATGAGTTACGAAGCTGTAAGTGCTGCCTGGGCCGTGGCTCCGAGGAGACTGCCAGGGCTGGCTGCCTTCCCCCGTGGAAGTCTCGGCCTGAGGACCATGCCTGGCAGGCGCTGTAGCCTGTCTCAGCCACACACAGAGTGAAGTTGGGGCATTGGCGGGCTGCCGCTCCGGAAAGGCCTGCCCGGTCTGTCCCCGTGAGAAGTGCCTCGAGGTGGTGCCTGGCAGCCAGAGGCTCCTGCCCATTGGGAAGGTCCAGGCAGGTGCACTGGTGTCACTGCCAAGACGTGGTGGGTGCACTGCAGCCTCCTGCTTGCACAGACGCTCACCCTGGCAGGCAGCAGGGTCTCGGGCTCCCTGCGGGGAGCAGGAACTGGTACATGAGGGACCCCCGTCTGGCTCGCTGCCCCGGAACCGTGCGCCCTGCAGAGCGTGCCGCTGTCTGATGGGCGTCTCTCTCTGCAGTTGAAGGAAGAGAACTGCAGGCTGAGGAGGAAGCTCAGTGAGGTGCAGAACTTCTCTGAGACTCAGACAGAGATGTACGTAGGCCCTCGGCCGTTCCCGGGGCTCGGGGACTGGGCGGGCAGCTCCCCCGGCCAGCCAGGAGGTGTACGTAGGCCCTCGGCCATTCCCGGGGCTCGGGGACTGGGCGGGCAGCTCCCCCGGCCAGCCAGGAAGTGTACATAGGCCCTCGGCCGTTCCCGGGGCTCGGGGACTGGGCGGGCAGCTCCCCCGGCCAGCCAGGAAGTGTACGTAGGCCCTCGGCCGTTCCCGGGGCTCGGGGACCTGGGCGGGCAGCTCCCCCGGCCAGCCAGGCGCTGCCCTTCCACCCCGCCGGGGGCACACCCGAATGCAGTGCCCATCAGGCGCATCCCTGGAGCAATGGGATGGTGGCCAGCTGGTTACCGACCAACTGTCCTGGCGCAGGGTGAGGACACTTGAACGGAAGTTAGAGGCCAAGATGGTCAAGGAAGAAAGTGACTTCCATGACCTGGAGTCGGTGGTGCAGCAGGTGGAACAGAACCTGGAAGTCATGACGGTCAGAGGCCCTGCCCCGGGTGCAGGGGGAGAGAGCCCCGGGCTGGAGCTGGTCAGAGCCCCGGGTGGGGGTGCAGGGGAGAGAGCCCCGAGCTGGAGCTGGTCAGAGCTGCGGGTGGGGGTGCAGGGGGAGAGAGCCCCGGGCTGGAGCTGGTCAGAGCCCTGGGGTGGGGGTGCAGGGGAGAGAGCCCCGGGTGGGGGTGCAGGGGAGAGAGCCCCGGGCTGGAGCTGGTCAGAGCCCTGGGGTGGGGGTGCAGGGGAGAGAGCCCCGGGTGGGGGTGCAGGGGAGAGAGCCCCGGGCTGGAGCTGGTCAGAGCTGCGGGTGGGGGTGCAGGGGGAGAGAGCCCCGGGCTGGAGCTGGTCAGAGCCCCGGGTGGGGGTGCAGGGGAGAGAGCCCCGAGCTGGAGCTGGTCAGAGCTGCGGGTGGGGGTGCAGGGGGAGAGCCCTGGGTGGTGATGCTGTCTGTTTTATTCTGGGTGACAGAAGCGGGCTGTCAAAGCAGAGAACAGTGTCCTGAGGCTGAAGCAGGAAGTGAACTTGCTGCAGGTAATTGGAGATGGTGGCTGCGTTTCCTCCATCTGAGTGTGTTCCAGAAGGACCTTTTGGGAGTCAGCCTGGCCCCCTGGGTCCCCAGTGGCAACTAAGTGTGCCTCCTGATGCTGGCACGTGGGGAGGGTCCCCTACCCTGCTCACACGCCCTGGAGGCAGGTCGGGGTCCCTGTCACACGGGCCCAGAGGGCTGTTCTCTGCCCCCTGCCTTCTTCATAAAGGCAGTCTCCCGCTTGCTGGGGACACCGTGGTGCCTGGGCCGGGTGCTTCCCCAAGGGAGCTGCAGTACGGAGCCCCTGCCGCTGGTGGGGGCAGGCTGCTCAGCGGTGCCCCTCCCCCAGGCTCAGGTCTCCAACTACAAGCGTGAGAACGAGGCCCTGCGTTCCGGCCAGGGCGCCAGCCTCGCCGTGGTGAAGCAGAACACGGATGTGGCCCTGCAGAACCTGCGCGTGGTCATGAGCAGTGCACACGCCTCCATCAAGTGAGCGTGGGGTCCTAAATCTCACGGGGAGCCCCTCTGTCCAGTGAGCGCGGGGACGGGGTTCTGAACCTGGGCAGTGCACACGCCTCCATCAAGTGAGCACGGGGTCCTAAATCTCACGGGGAGCCCCTCTGTCCAGTGAGCGCGGGGACGGGGTTCTGAACCTGGGCAGTGCACACGCCTCCATCAAGTGAGCACGGGGTCCTAAATCTCACGGGGAGCCCCTCCGTCCAGTGAGCGCGGGGACGGGGTTCTGAACCTGGGCAGCGCTCATGCCTCCATCAAGTGAGCACGGGGTGAGGGTGGGAGGGCGTGGGATCCTGGACCTGGGCAGTGCTCCCCTCCAAGTGAGCAGGCGCCGGGGTGGGCGGGGGGAGGTTGGCATGCTAACGGCTCCAGATGCTGACAGGTGGCCGACTTTGACTGCAGATCCATCTTTGGGGTCACCCCCTCAGTGCCTCCAGCAGCCTGGAGCTGCGTGGGAGTTTGCATCCAGGCATACGCCCTCAGCAGTATTTCCCCACTGCACCAGGGCTCCGGGCACAGTGCTACTGGCCCCTGTAATCCATCGGGGCCACATCCCCCAAGGCCCCGGCTCATGTCAGCCTCACCCTGCTGCCACCTTGCTGCCTTCAGCCAGAGGCCAGGACCTTCCATGCCCCACTCCACTAGGCAGTGGTGTCTCTGGGCCATGGTGTCCCCTTCTCCCAGCACTTGACCGTTGTTGGACAGGGTCAGCTCTCCCACCTGCTGGGTCCCACTGCAATGGCCAGAGAGCTGCCTGCCAGGGGCACATGCGGGCGACAGGGACATGAGCCCCCCGGGTGTCCTGACAGCTTCACGGGCCTGCTGACCTGGGCAGCAGAGGTCCCTGCCCTGCCCGTCCCCTTGCTGTGCCGCCGCTGTGGCACTCCTAACATACTTTTCTGTTCAGGCAGCTGGTGTCTGGTGCGGAAACACTGAATCTTGTCGCTGAGATCCTCAAGTCCATAGACAGGATCTCGGAGGTCCAGGAGGACGATGCGAGCTGACCAGGCCTGGCAGCCGGGCGCCACGGCGGGCCACGTGCTCTTCCCTGCTGGCGCTGGAAAGCCCGCTCAGCTACTGGAAGATTTTTGTAAAAGCCAATAATTTTTTTTTTAATTGCTAAACATGACAACTGGGGTTCTGTGGTGTCTTTCCGTGCCTTGCCCAGAGCGTGGGCGCTGGCCGGGTTCCAGACTGCGTCCCTGGCAGAGGCAGGCAGCTCAGCACCCGCTCCTTCCTGTCCGACCTGTGTCCCCCAGGATAGCCGTGCCTTTCTGCCCGACACGTGTCCCTCTGGGCACCTGTGCCTTTCTGACCAACCCATATCCCTGGGGGCTGGGAGCGCCCATGCCTGTCTGCCTGACCTGTGTCCTGTGCTGGTGGCTGGGGTGTGAGCAGTGCTGGACATACTGTGCCCTGAGCTCGCTCCAGGTCACTGGGACTGGGGGTGTGCAGCCTTTGGGCCGCATGTGCTCGCTGCCCAGGGACAGTGGGATCAACACTACCTCCGTCTGGCTGCTGTTCGAAGATGTTATTTTTTCAAGTGGATGACCGCCCCACTCCTTGCTGTGAACAGCTGCTGGTTGCAATAAATCCTGATGTTCATGTGTGTCGTCCTCTGTTCTTGCACGGGGCATCCTGAAGGTGATGAGGCTGGCATCTTGGCCTTGATGAGACGCTCCCCAGCTGAGGGCAAAGCAGAGGGTGAGGATTCCCAGGTGCCCGGGCCAAGCCCTGGGGTGTGCCATGGTGGCCCCTCGGCAGCTGAGCCACCGGGCTGGGTCCCCTGTCCCTGCAGGCCACAGCACAGGGCGGCCAGCGTTCGCAGCACCTTGGCCAGGTGGTTGTGGCAGCACGCTGGTGGTCTGGTCATGTTTCTAATCTTGTGTGGCATCACAGACGACACGACACCAAGAAGCACCACCCCTGCTCGCTGGCGTGTCGCTTCTTCCTGTGGAAGCCCTTAGACCAGCTGCCAGGACAAGCTGACCGCCAACCTGGCACTCGGTCTAAAACACAGATCCACGGCCAGCTGAGGTCAGCATCAGACACACACAGGCCCATGGCTGCCAGGCCAGGCCCACGGGCACCAAGGGAGGGTGCACACAGGCCCACGGGCACCAAGGGAGGGTTCCAGGGCAGACCCACGGGCACCAAGGGAGGGTGCCAGGTCCACGGGCACCAAGGGAAGGTGCACACAGGCCCACTGCTGCCAGGCCAGGCCCACGGGCACCAAGGGAAAGGGCAGGGCAGCTGCAGGGATGGCAGGCCTGGGCTGGGCAGGTCTCCAGGTTCCTCTGACCTGCGTGGGAGATCCCATGGCTACAAGCAGCCACAGCCCTGGGAACAGCCTGTGGTAGGCTGGCTTTTGAGGCATTTGTTTAAAAGGCAATGACATGTGTGAGCTGATGGGACTCTGCGGACCAGCGGGGGTCAGGGGTCAGGCGCTGCTCCCCTGGCTCTGGAGCCCCGCCCCCTCGCGGCCGTTCCGGCAGAGGCGGGACTTCCGGCGCGCGGCACTGACGTCCCAGGAAGCGGAAGCGCGTGCTCCCCGGTCGTCAAGGCGACGGCGGCCGGGCGGCGCGAGGCCGCGTGTCCGGGAGGGCCAGCCGACAGCCCTGCGAGCCCGGGGTGCTGGTCCGCGAGCCGGCCTTCCCCCGCTGCCTGCCCGGGGCCGGAGCATGGCGGCGGAGCAGCCGGGACGGCGCCCGGACCCCGAGCTGGCCTCGGCGTGCGGTGAGTGCCCCGTCCACCGGGCTGGGACGGCGGGTCCGCGCTCGGCCACTGCGCCCCCTGTCCGAGCTGCCCGCGTCCTCGGGGCGCCCCCGTGCAGCCCCGCTCAGCCGCATGCTTGGCGGGGCCTTGCACCTGCCCTCCCGCCTGGCTCCCCGTGGGTGGGTCCTCTGGCACCCCTGCCCTGCTGTGCCCGGGTGAAGGCCGCTCGTCCGGCTGTCCCTGCTGTCCCCCTCAGCCCCCCGGTGCCCCTTGGTTCCGGGTCTGTCCCTGCTGTCCCCCTCAGCCCCCCGGTGCCCCTTGGTTCCGGGTCTGTCCCTGCTGTCCCCCTCAGCCCCCCGTGCCCCTTGGTTCCGGGTCTGTCCCTGCTGTCCTCCTCAGCCCCCCGGTGCCCCTTGGTTCCAGCTGTCCCTCTGTCCCCCTCAGCCCCCCGTGCCCCTTGGTTCCGGGTCTGTCCCTGCTGTCCCCCTCAGCCCCCCGGTGCCCCTTGGTTCCAGCTGTCCCTCTGTCCCCCTCAGCCCCCCGTGCCCCTTGGTTCCAGCTGTCCCTCTGTCCCCCTCAGCCCCCGTGCCCCTTGGTTCCAGGTCTGTCCCCCCGCTGGCGCAGGTCCTCCCTGCGGTGCCGGTCGCTCGGTGAGCAGTGAGGTGACCGTGGGCCCCGCCGGGAGGGCAGCCCGTCCCCACCGTGGCTCACACCTGTGTGCTTGTCTCCAACAGGCTGGTCGCCCGTTGCCGCGGACTGGGACGTTTGTGGCCCCCCGCTCTCGGTAACTGGCTCGCACTGGAGCTGTGCCCACCTTCGTGGGGTGTGGGGTCGGAGGGGAGACAGTCGAGCCCCTGTTTGCCTGCGTGAGATGTGGCCGAGTGTTTCCCACTGAAGCCGACACGGTCCCGCCTGCCGCAGTGTCCCCAGCGCGGCCATGCGCTGTGCCCGCTTCCGTGTCCCCAGCTCTGCGGCAGCGCCCGCAGCATTAGCTCAGTGTACAGACTGCTCTGGCAGCTCTGTCTCGGGCGTGTTGACGCGCTGCGCCTCAGCAAGTGCAGGCTGCTCACACTCGGCCGTGTGCGTTCCCTGGGGAGACTAACCTGGCTGTCTGGGTCGCCTCGTGCACGTCTTTTTGTTGTTGTTTTCAAGGGTCGTTTAGCTGGCAGGTGGGCACTCACGCGCACAGAGAAACACCTTCCCTCTGAGGACGCACTGTTAGTGGCCGGGGCATCCGGGGGCCCCATCCGGGCAGCCGAGACACACTCTCCCAGCGGCCTTAGCACGGAGCTGCCCTGGGCACTCTTGCCCGATGTGGGGTGCAAATGTTGCCAGTTGGGTTGGCATCGTGGTGGTTGGCACGCTCAGCGCGGGTTCCCTGCTAGCAGGGTTTGCTGGAGACAGGTGATGCAGGCTCGCGGTGAGATCTGGTGCCGAGTGGAAAGCTGCTTGTTCCTGTGGTGACACTGGGTGGGTGCTGATGGGCACGTGGACCTGCATGGGCGTGTCCCCTGCCTCACCGCGAGTCCCGTTCCCGCCAGGAGGAAGGCAGCGATGAAGACGAGCCCGCAGACAGAGCACTCCCTGAGGACCCGGAGACCTGCCTGCAACTCAACATGGTCTACCAGGAGGTGGTGCGGGAGAAGCTGGCCGAGGTGGGCCGGCTGCTGGCCCAGAACCGGGAGCAGCAGGTAGGCAGCCCTCGCAGCCGGCCCCTGGCCTGGCAGAGCTGCCACAGCTACCCCACAGCTACCCACCGGCCCCTGGCCCCGGCCCACTCACAGCCCTTGTCTCCCAGGAGGAAATCTCGTGGCTGCTGGCCGGGTCGAAAGGCCCCAAGGTGAAGGACGCCAAGGGCCTGCCACAGAACGTGTACATCGGGCACTTCATGAAGCCGTACTTCAAGGACAAGGTCACGGGAGTGGTGAGTGCTTGTGGCAGGGGTGTGAACCTGGGTGGGCAGGCGGGCAGCACACTGAGCCCGGGCTCTGACAGGGGCCTCCTGCCAACGAGGACACGCGCGAGAAGGCCACCCAGGGCATCAAGACGTTCGAGCAGCTCCTGGTGACTAAGTGTGAGGCTTTCTGGGGCACTGTGGCTCCTGTCCCCTCCGGGCTGTGGGGGGCCGCCATGCCTGGCCCCAGCCGTCTGTGTGCGCACAGGGGTGCCCCGGGGCCAGCGCCGGCTCCCTGCCGTGGGCTCTGCTTCCCACGCGGGGGGCGGGCACTGCCGAGGGAGCCCGGTGGGGAGTGCGTGTGGAGGGTGACCCGGCTGCTGCCTCGGACCCTTCTCAGGGAAGAGCTGGGAGAAGGCCTTGCTCCGGAAGTCGGTGGTGAGCGACCGCCTGCAGCGCCTGCTTCAGCCCAAGTTACTGAAGTGAGTCCGCAGCGGCGCATGATGGGCGGGTGGCCAGGGTGCCCAGCCAGACCCCATGTCCCAGCTTCCTCTGCTTCTCTCTGCTTCCTTCTCCGGGGAGGAGGCCAGGCCGTGGGCAGTGCCCCCCGGGCGGGGGTAGCACGCACAGCCCGCCGCCTCCCTCCCCCGCAGGCTCGAGTACTTGCGCCAGAAGCAGGGCCGCGTGTGCAGTGAGGCCGAGCGGCAGGCCCTGGAGCAGCAGGCCCGGGAGGCGGAGCGCGACGTGGAGCGCATCAAGTAAGCGGGCTGCGTCAAGTGTGGGGAGCAGGAGCTGGTGGCACCGCCAGGCCTGAGCCCCTGCTGTCCCCCACCAGCCAGCTCCCGGAGGAGGCCCTGCTGGGCAGCAGGCTGGACAGCCATGACTGGGAGAAGATCGCCAACGTCACGGTGAGTGCGGCCTGGGGCTGGCCCTGCAGCCACGGCCCTGCTCCCCGCACCCACGGCCCGGCTCCACAAACCCACGGCCCTGCTCCCCGCACCCACAGCCCCGCTCCCCATACCCACGGCCCTGCTCCCCGCACCCACAGCCCCGCTCCACACGCCCACGGCCCTGCTCCCTGCACCCACAGCCCCGCTCCCCATACCCACAGCCCCACTCCCCATACCCACGGCCCTGCTCCCTGCACCCACAGCCTGGCTCCACACACCCACAGCCCCACTCCCCATACCCACGGCCCTGCTCCCCGCACCCACAGCCCCGCTCCCCATTCCCGCGGCCCTGCTCCCCGCACCCACAGCCCCGCTCCCCATACCCACGGCCCTGCTCCCCGCACCCACAGCCCCGCTCCCCATACCCACGGCCCTGCTCCCTGCACCCACAGCCCCGCTCCCCATACCCACGGCCCTGCGCCCTGCACCCACAGCCTGGCTCCACACACCCACAGCCCCACTCCCCATACCCACGGCCCTGCTCCCCGCACCCACAGCCCCACTCCACACACCCACGGCCCTGCTCCCCGCACCCACAGCCTCACTCCACACACCCATGGACCCACGGCCCCACTCCACTCACCCATGGACCCACGGCCCCACTCCACGCACCCATGGACCCACGGCCCCACTCCACACACCCATGGACCCACAGCCCCGCTCCACACACCCACGGCCCCACTCCCCACACCCACAGCCTCACTCTACACACCCACGGCCCTGCTCCCCGCAACCACAGCCTCCACACACCCATGGACTCAGGCTTGCCCTGGGTGTGGGAGCTGCCCCAGGCTCTGTGACCCCTCTGGTCGGACGCGCTTCCCGCAGGCGGGGGCGTCCCGCAGGCGAGGGCTTTGTGGGGTGGGGACAGCCGCACAGGCTCTGCCTGCGGCTCGGCGGGCGTGTCGGGGTCGGCGCCCCACCTGAGCCGTGCTGGGGTGTGCAGTTTGAAGGCAGCCGCAGCGCTGAGGAGATCCGGAAGTTCTGGCAGAACTCGGAGCACCCGAGCATCAACAAACAGGAGTGGGGCGCCGAGGAGCTCGAGCGGCTGCGGGCCATCGCTGCCTCGCACGGCCACCTGCGGTGGCAGGCCGTGGCCGAGGAGCTGGGGGTAAGGGCAGGCTCCCGGCCCTCGCAGCCGTCGGGGTCCCCAGAGCCACGAGTGTGGTCCCCGGTGGTCGGTGGGTGTGGCTGGGTGGGGGCCGCGGCAGGCGTCTCTTGAGCCACTGGTGGATCAGCGTCCCTCCTTAGTCTAGCCAGGCACACTGCTTTGGGGGGCTCGGCTCTGGGGAGCTCCTCTCCTTGGGGGTTGGGAGACACGCACACGAAGGCCCCCTGGGGATGGCCTGCTGCCTGAGCCGGCCTTGGGAAGCAGACGGGTGCCGGCCACTGGGCACGCTTGTCCCGCAGGCTTGGCCGGAAGTCCCCTGGGTGAGACCCAGCGAGCTCACCATGGCAGGCGGGCCCCGTGTGAGCGTGATGCCCCCTCGCATCTGTCCCTCCCGTCCTCACGGCTGTGAGGTGTGCTCCCTGTCCCTGGGGTCTCAGCGTGTGCCGGGGGCCTTAACACTTGCGCTTCCGGGCCTCGGGCAGACGGGCCGCAGCGCCTTTCAGTGCCTGCAGAAGTTCCAGCAGCAGAGCAAGGACCTGAAGCGCAGGGAGTGGACGCCCGAGGAGGACCGCATGCTCACCCAGCTGGTGCAGGAGATGCGCGTCGGGAGCCACATCCCATACCGTCGCAGTGAGGGCCAGGCCGGGGTCCACGTCCCCTACCCCGCAGTGAGGGCCAGGCCGGGGTCCACGTCCCCTACCCCGCAGTGAGGGCCAGGCCGGGGTCCACGTCCCCTACCCCGCAGTGAGGGCCGGGGTCCACGTCCCCTACCCCGCAGTGAGGGCCGGGGTCCACGTCCCCTACCCCGCAGTGAGGGCCGGGGTCCACGTCCCCTACCCCGCAGTGAGGGCCAGGCCCACGTCCCCTACCCCACAGTGAGGGCCCACGTCCTCTACCCCCCAGTGAGGGCCAGGCCCATGTCCCCTACCCCGCAGTGAGGGCCGGGGTCCACGTCCCCTACCCCGCAGTGAGGGCCGGGGTTGTTCTCCAGGGCTCCACTGGGCACACACAGGGACGCTTGAGGGGGCATCTCGGCCCCCACAGACTAGTGTCCTGGGCACCCACGGCCCCGGGGAGGGCTCTGAGGGTTGGGGCGTCCATGACCTCGGGGAGGGCTCTGAGGGTTGGGGCGTCCGTGACCCCGGGGAGGGCTCTGAGCGTTGGCCACGCCCTCCGTCCCCAGTCGTCTACTACATGGAGGGGAGAGACTCTATGCAGCTCATCTACCGCTGGACCAAGAGCTTGGACCCCAGCCTGAAGAAGGGGTCCTGGGCCCCCGAGGAAGATGCTGTGAGTCTGGGGTCCTGGGGGCCTGTGCCCTGGGAAGCCTCGCTGTCCTTTAGCCATGGCGCTGAGCTGGGAGGGGAGGTCACGGCCATGCCTGCGGTGCTACCGCTGTGTCATCCTGCAGAAGCTGCTCCAGGCCGTTGCCAAACACAGGGAGCAGAACTGGTTTAGAGTGCGGGAGGAGGTGCCAGGCAGGAGCGATGCCCAGTGCCGAGATCGGTGAGTTGCACGTCGCCAGACAGGGCTTTGCTCTCGTGGGGCCAGAAGCCAGCGGGGCGGTGGCTTGCTGTCGCTGGAGGGTGGCGCAGGCACTGTGTGCTCAGGACGGAATCTGGCCTGGCAGCCTCACGCTCCTGACGCCTGTTCAAGGCCGTCCGCCCAGGCTTGGTGGGCCGGGCTCCTGTGTCGTGGGAGGCAGAGTGACAAAGAGGCCGCCACTGGTTCACTCTGCAGGCGCTGCAGCAGCCAGCTGAGCCGGGCTTAAGCCACAAGCTCCATCCAGGTGTTCTGGCACCGGGGTGTGCTGCAGCCACCCTCGGGGCGTGGCCGCTGTGTTCACGCGCAATGCTGTGGTGTGGCCTGGGAGGCCAGGGTCCCACAGGCACCACCAGGTCCCCCCTGCTTCCAGCTCCCTGCTGTGGCCTGGGACAGTAGCAGAGGACGGCCCAAAGCTTTGGCCCCTGCCCCTGTGTGGGAGACCCAGAAGAGGCGTCTGGCTCCAGCTGGGTGCCCCGTGACTGCTGTGGCTTCCGGGGAGTGACCAGTGGATGGACAGTCTCTGCTCTGGTCTCCTCTGTGCTGTGGTTTCCAAATAAGCAAGTCTTCACGAAGAGCAGCAGCAGTGGGGTGATGGATTGTGGTGGGGAGGACAGGTGGGCGGGCGGCCGGCCTAGGGCAGGGCAGGGACTGTGCACTGTGCTTGTGAGAGTCCAGCCGTGGTCCGCCGTGCGAGCCCCCAGCCCTGAGCCCACGCTGCAGGAGCAGCACTTGGGAGCGCCCTGTGGTGTGTGTTATGCCGCGCACCCGCCAGGCGTCCCTCTGCCACGATGGGTGCTCCATAGCCGTGCGGCTCTGCCCGCTGCGAGAGCTGTCTTCCAGAACGTTCCCACGCCCTCAGAAGCTTGCTGGCATCAGGCTTTTTTGGATTTTTGTTTTTTAAAGATTTTTTATTAAAAAATCGGATTTGCAGAAAGGAGACAGATCTAACACCTGCTGAGTCACTCCCTAAGTGGCCGGAGCTGTGCCGGTCCGGAGCCAGGAGCCAGGAGCTTCCTCCAGGTCTCCCACGCGGTGCAGGGTCCCAAGGCTTTGGGCCGTCCTCAGCTGCCTTCCCAGGCCTCAGGCAGGGAGTTGGATGGGAAGCAGGGCAGCCTGGATTAGAACCGGCGCCCATATGGGATCCTGGCACATGCAAGGCAAGCACTGTAGCCACTAGGTTACCACACCAGACCCTGTTTGCTTCTTTTAGATTCCCATCTTTACTTGAAAGGCAAATTTAGGGAGACAAACCCGTTGGCTGGTTCACTGTTTAGATGCTGCAGTGAGCGGGTCCAGGCCTGTCAGGAGGCTGGGGTCTGGGTCCCCACGCGGGTGCAGGGGCCCAAGTACACGAGCCATCCTCTGTTGCTCTTCCTGGGGCATCAGCAGGGACTAAACCAGTGCCCATATGGGATGCCGACAACCCCAACCCGTGACACTGCCGTGCCAGACGCTGGCTGGGTCTGTGCCCGCCGTCTGCCTGAGGCAGGGTCTGTGCCTGCCATCCGCCTGAGGCAGGGTCTGTGCCCGCCGTCCGCCTGAGGCAGGGTCTGTGCCCGCCGTCCGCCTGTGGCTGGGTCCGCGCTCCTTTCGGGGCGAAGGCTCTTTGCGCAGCTGCCAGTCTCCACCTTAACTAGCCGCCCTCCCTACCTGGCAGGGGGTTCCACTGAAGCCCACTTGGTGACTTGGGCTCCGTGTCACACTGGGGCTCTGTGTGGCTGCTGGGCAGCAGGGTCAGCAGCGCAGTGGCTGTGTGCCACCCTGTGCCTTTCAGGTATCTCCGAAGGCTGCATTTCAGCTTGAAGAAGGGACGCTGGGACCCGAAGGAAGAGGAGCAGCTGCTGGAGCTGATTGCCAAGTATGGCGTGGGTAAGCTGCTGCCAGCCGTGCTGGCCACTGGCTGCCCGCCCCGGCACACGTAGCCCCCAGCCCTCTGCTGCTCACGTGCATCAGGCATTCCTCACTGAGCAGCCCCAGCCGCAGCATCTGGTGGGCTGCAGGCCAGCCCGCCAGGCGCAGCTCCCCACGCAGGCCTCTCGGTGGTGTCTCCCCTTGCAGGTCGTTGGGCGAAGATCGCAGCTGAGCTGCCCCACCGGTCAGGCTCCCAGTGTCTGAGCAAGTGGAAGGGCCTAGCCGAGGTGAGCCCCACTGGGCGCTGGGGAGGGAGAGCGGCCCACGTGGCCCCGGCCTTGCCGCCTCCTCCCCCGGGGCAGCTGAGCCTGGCAAGCGTTGCCCTGGCCGCCACCCTTCAGAGGCTGCGAGCTCGGGCTCATGGGACGCACTCTCCTGCCCTCAGAGGCGGCCCCACCTGCGCCGGCAGCAGCGGCGCCGGCCACAGAGGCGCAGCACACGCTGGAGCTCCAGCAGCAGCGACAGCGACCCCGGCAGCCAGGGCAGCGGTGACAGCAGCAGTAGCAGTGAGGACACAGAGCCCGAGCCGGAGGAGTCCTGGCGGCGTGGCCAAGCACCGCCTTCTCCTCAGCACGTGGTGCCAGACATGGACCTGTGGGTGCCAGCCCGGCAGAGCCCCAGCCAGCCTCGCGGGGCAGGGGTCAGGACCTGGACGCAACAGCCAGTGGCTGGCGGAGCCACAGCAGACCGCCGGGAAGCTCCTGCCGTGGCCTCCGCTCCCGCAGCCCCAAGGCAAGCTCAGACCCCCAGTGGAAGTGAGCTGAGCCCCCGGACAGGGGACCCTCGGCCTGCAAGCCCAGAGGAGTCAGCCTGCCAGGTAGGCCCGAGGGGGGTGAGATGCCCCGGCCATCTGGGCTCTGCTTGTTACCCAGGGGCCCCTGGCTGGGTTGGGTCAGATCCACCCTTGCCTTCCCACTGATGCACCCTAGGTTCACACAGGCAGGCTGCATCCAGGGGCCACCAAGGGCCCCGGGAAGAAATTTCTGGAAAGCTACATGCTCTGCTCACTGCACCAAGGGAATGGGGAGGGACATTGCAGGAGTGGAACACACACACACACACACACACACACACACACACACACACCCCCACCCGTGAGCTCCACTCAGGCCTGCCGGGGGGGCCCGCAGAACACACACACACACACACACACACACACCCCACACACACACACACCCCACACACACACACACACCCGTGAGCTCCACTCAGGCCTGCCGGGGGGGCCCGCAGGCATCTGCCTGCCTGGTTGCTTTTGAAGACCCAGGCCGGGCACAGCCAGTCCCCAGGCGGCAGGGGACTTGGGGAGTTGTTCGCAAGTCCCCAGGGGCCTGGCTGGCAGGGAGTGCACGTGACCCGTCGTTTGCCACATTTCTCATCAGGGCGGGAAGCAGCTGCCGGAGGGGCCTCTGGAGACGGTGCTGGGGGTGCCGAGGCCCGAGGCAGCCTGGAGCAGCAGGCTGGTGAGGCCCTGCCCTGCTCAAGGGGGGTGTGAGCACGAGCCCCGGGGCGGGGGGCAGGGACCCCAGCACAGCCTGGCCTGGAGGCCCACGCACCATTGTCCTCCCTGCAGAAGGAGAAGCTGAGGCGGCCGCCCCTGCCCAGCTCCGCCCTGGGGCCTCGCCTTGGCACCTTCCGGAATGGGCACCGCCGGCAGAGACCCAGCTTGCAGCGCAGGCTCCTGAAACGCAGGCTTCTGTTGGCCGTGAGCCCCTGGGTGGGCCCTGCGCCCCTGCCCAGCCCGCAGGCTGCGCACACTCGAGGTACCGCCTGGGGATCCCTAGGAGCTGCCGGGAGGCTGGGCGCCAAGTTTGATCAGTCTTCCCTCTGCCCCTCGCCATGCTGCTGGGCTCGCCAGGACAGCTGGCCTGGGGCAGAGGGCTGGGGTGTCCTGCGCTGTGCCCACGTGTCCCCTGTTCACAGCCGATGGCATCCGCACGCGCCTGAAGGACGTCCAGCTGCCCAGCAGGCCTGTGTTCACCCTGTTCATCCAGGTGAGCCCGGGCGGCGTCAGCCCGCAGCGCCTGGCTGTGGCCGGAGCTGTCCTGGAGCCGCCACCTGCTCTCCCCAGCTCTTCCAGATTGACACTGCTGGCTGCATGAAGGTTGTGGAAGAGAGGAAGGCCCAGCCGCCCGCACTGGCCCAGGTTGGCCCTCAGAGCCTGTCACACCTGCCACAGGTAGCAGGCTGGGAGGGGAGGGGTGTGGCCCCCCGCAAACCTTGCTGCAGCTGCCTCGGGAGGGTGGTGCCAGGGTCCATGAGGGAGGCCAGCCCAGGCCCGGAGCCTTGGGCCACGGAGGGTCCAGCCCAGGCCACGAGGCCTGCAGCGCTGACCACGGGGTCCTTTTCTTCCAGGCTCCCAGCAAGGCCCAGCGTGCCCCAGGTACCACTCCGTGCTTCCCGCTCATCGGGTAGACAGCCCTGGGCTCTGATGCACCCCGAACTAGGTAGACCCCTGGGGCCCACAGTGTGCCCTCTGCCCCAACCCTCCTCCAGGCTGCCTCTTCCCAAGCCCGCCACCTCCAGCTGCAAAGGCCACCAACCACCGACAGGATGCGCGGCCACGGCGTGCCCTGTGCTCCCCCTGCGGCCCCCGGCCCAAGCCCAAGACGGTGTCCGAGCTGCTCCGAGAGAAGCACCTGCGGGAGGCCCGTGCACGCAAGGCCGCCCAGACCCCCGCAGTCCTCCCGACTCAGCTGCTGCTGTCACCCCTGATCCTGCAGCCTTCTCTGCTGCCAACCCCCGACGGCAGCACCCCCACCCCAAGCCCTGGGCTAGCTGCCAGTCCCCACACCCTGGGCGAGAGGACCCTGCTGCTGCCTGCCCCACCCCTCCCTCTGGCAGGCAGCCTCCCCACTGCCGCCCAGAAGCAGGGCCTGGCAGCTGCGCCCCAATTCCTGTCTGTGCTTCAGGGCCCTGCTCTGCTGCCCGGGCAGCCCCTTACCTGGCTGCTCACAGCCCCGGGCCTGCTGCCTGTGCCCGTGCCACCCCTGGCCGACATCCCCCAGCCCACGAGGGCGCCGCAGCCACCGGCACTGCCCGAGACACCTGCCTGCTCGGGACAGCCCCCAGCCACTGTGAATGGTGGCCCAGCCCCCGCCTCCAAGACGGACCCCTTGCCCACCCCTCCCCTGGCCTTCAGCGCTGCAGAAGCGGGTGGTGGGGTCCCTGCACCCGGAGAGACCTCTGTGCCCCGGGCCCCGCTCCAAGCTGGCCACCCTGACACCATGTGCCCTGAGCCCAGCCAGCTGCCTGCCCCCAGTGACCCAGGAGGACCATCAGAGCCGGAGAAGCCACCGCCTCCCTGCCTGGGGCCAGAGAAGGGGGCCCTGGACCTGGACCTGCTCTCCCGGGAAGACGAGGGGACCGTCCAGGCATGGCTGAAGGGACAGCATGGTGTGCACGTGTCCCCACTGCAGAGCCGGCTGCCCTACCAGCCCCCGACCCTGTGTGGCCTGCGTGTGCTGGCCCGGCTGCTGCTGCAGAAGAAGGGTCTGGAAAGCCAGGCGGCCTCCCTGGCGGCCGGGCCCGGGGCCCTGCAGGCCGCTCTGCAGCTGGCCCGGGAGCAGCTACAGGACAACCCTGCCTACCTGCTGCTCAAGGCAAGATTCCTGGCCATGCTCACCCTCCCTGCGCTGCTAGCCACCCTGCCTCCTCCGGGAGTGCCCACCACCCTGTCAGCCCTGGGCACGGGCTCTGAGAGCGAGGACGAGGCCCTGGGCGACCTGCACCTCTGCCAGGAGGACAGGGGCCTGCCGGGGCCACCGGCCACCAGCCTCAGCCAGGTGAGGGCCTGGGCACCTCTGGGGTGGGGCAAGCTGCCTTGTGTCCTTGTGTCCCTGGGGGCAGGAAGCGCTTCTCAGGACCCTGCGTGAGGTGGGGTGCAGCTGACCTCAGGGAGCCCCCCCGTTAGGTCAGCCATAGGCCTGCAGCTGGTTTGTACCATGAGGGAGGTGGCTCTGGCCCTGCGGGCACAGGAGCTGGCTCCTTGGTGGGGGGCAGCAGTGGGAGGCAACAAGGCCCCTGCCTGGGGATGCCATGTCCCAGGACCTCCCAGCGCCCCCTCTCGGTTGTCACAGGGAGTGCTGGCTGCAGGTCCAGGCGCTGCCCCCACCTGCCCTGGGGCCGTGGATGACCTCAACGTGCTCCGGACCCGGCGCTCCTGGCACCCCCGGAAACAGAGATGAGGGTGAGTGGGGTACAGGGGGCAGCCAGGAAGGGAGCCGCAGCCCAAGCTCATCCCATCACAGTCCTTCCTGCTGCCCACAGGGGCGGCCCCATCCCCTGTGGTGTGCCCACTGTGTCCCTACCCAGCGGCTGGCTCTCACCAGGACCAACCCGGATCAGAACCCCAGAGGGTGGTGGCTCCTTGGACCCTGTGTGTGGCCCCGCATGCTCTGCACCCAGCCCAGCCTCGGGGCTGTCTGGTGGACACCAGGCACAGGAGCGACCGGGGTTATGGCCCTCTGCTATGCCCTGCCCTCAAAACCTGCCTTTCCAGGTGAGGCTCCCGCTGGAAGCCAGGACCCCCCGCCATGGCCGCCTAAGGAATAAATCAAAGTTGGATTTTTGTCACACAGCAGGCTGGTGTGTGTTTGTCATTTGCAGGCCCTGGGCTGGAATGTGGCCAGCTGCGGGTTGGGGACGGCCGCCGGCTAGCTGGCTCCCCCCGCAGGGTCTGCCCTGCCTCCCACCCTCAGCTGACTTCTGCCCAGGGGAACAGGAGACCAGAGACGGTCAGCAGTCCTTGTGGCTCTGGCTGTGGGTGAAGCTGTCGGCCGCAGAAGGCTAAGCGGTGCCTTCCCCAGTCTGCTGCAGCCACGCAGCGCTCCTCCGTGCAGCCACGCAGCACACAGCCACGCAGCGCTGCCCCTGTGTTCCTGTGGCGTGGGCCAGCCCCAGGCCCACTCCAGCGCTGTGTCTGCAGGCCCGTGTGCTGCTTTGGGCCCTGGCAGTGTTGTCATTCCTGTGGCTGCTAAGTACACTGACACCAAATGCCAGGATGCCTTGCTGATCTGGGCCTTAATTCTTAAAAAAAAAACCCAAAAAACAGCTCCCTGCCTGTGGCCTGGTAAAGCAGCCAATGACGGCCCAAAGCCTTGGGACCCTGAGCCCGCATGGGAGACCTGGAGGAGGCTCCTGGCTCCTGGCTTCGGATCGGCACAGCACTGGCCGTTGAGGTCACTTGGGGAGTGAATTGTCAGATGAAAAGATCTTCCTCTCTGTATATCTGACTTTGCAATAAAAATAAATACATTAATAAGTAAATCTTTAATTATTTTTTTTAACATCGAAAGGTTGAGTGACAAAACAAAAACGGTCCTACCCATTGGTTGTTCACAGCAGCCAAGGTGGGCCAGGCCGAAGCCAGGAGCTCCATGCAGGCTCCCTCCATGGCGGCGAGCGCCAGCCAGCGCCTTCCCAGGGGCGCCAACGGAGCTGGAAGGAAGGTAGAACAGCTGGGACTCGAACCGGTGCTCCTGTCGAGTGCCCGCAGCTCTGGCCAGAGCTGCCTCCGTCTTCATCCTGACAGGAGCAATCTCACGCACCTGAATGACGGGCTTTGTCTTCCAGTCGCAGGGTAGGGCTTCACCGGCTGCTCTGTGCGACGCCTGAGGTTGGGGCAGTGGTCCCTCCTGGGGGCTGGGCCTCCCCTGTGCTGTGGATGGCGCAGGGCCCGCAGCCAGGGGGCTAACGGCCAAGCAGGAGCAGCCGCCTCCCTGTCCTGTGCTGCCCTTCAGCCGGGTGTCCCAGCAAAGTGGGGGCCCGGGGCTTCAGTGCCTTGGGACACAGCCCTGGCGCTCTGTGGTGGCCATGGGCACCGAACGGGCTGCAGCGGCCTTCTGTGCCTGCGGCCTGCAGCTCTGACCCCGGGCTGCGGGCGATGTGTGTCATAGCATCCCAGGCCACGGGGCCCCATCCAGGCAGGCCACAGGGACCTCGTGCAGCACCCCAGGGCCACGGGGCCCCATCCAGGCAGGCCACAGGGACCTCGTGCAGCACCCCAGGGCCCGGGGCCCCATCCAGGCAGGCCACAGGGAGGATGCCTTGCGCATAAGTTTCCAATTCCTTCAGCCCCACCCCGTGGGTGGCAGCTGGGCAAATCAGAAGGCAGCCACTAGGGACTGTCTCCCATAGGGGCCCCAGAACCTGCAGGAAGTCACAGGCTGCAGCCAAGGCCAGCAGCACCTCCCCGAGGACCTGAGGTAGGCGTTGGGGGGCAGGGGCCCCTGGACAGCCTCAACCTCCCCACATCCCAGCCTGAAGTCTGACCCTTGGCTCGGGAGAAGCAATAGTGGGACACCAAGGGAGCCAGGGACGCCAGGGGCTGGCCCCCACGCTGTCGGGCCGGAGCGGGTACAGCCACCAGGCAGCAGGAAATTGTGAAATTTCGCACAGACCCATGCCTGCCCACAGGCACATCCCCAACAGGCAGGGACCCAGCAGGGGCTGGGTTGTGGCAGGGGCCGGCCAGTCCTAGAGGGCTGGATGCTGCGAGTGCCAAGGCCAACTCCCCAGGCCAGGGGTGACCCGGCCACCCCCCACCAGTGTGTGACCAGGTCCTCAGCCACCTGCCAGCAGCTGACAAACTTGCACAAAGCTGTTGGACTTGGGACGTCCACGGGTGTTCTGTGGGCGAGTCGGGAAGTTCCGCCTGCCTGGCTCTCCTGGCCTGGCTGTCCCCGGGTGAGTCAGGAAGTTTGGCCTGCCTGGCTCTCCTGGCCTGGGCTCTCGGTCCCCACAAAGGCACAGCAGCAACAGTAGAAGCTAAATAGGGTAGCGGCTGACCCCTCACTCCCTTGCCTCCTCACCTGGCCCCCTCCTGGGCTGAGCCCCTTCCCTGGCCCGAGCCCCTCCGTTTGCCCCCTCCCTGGCCCGAGCCCCTCCCCCTGGCCCTCCCTCCTGGGCTGAGCCCCTTCCCTGGCCCGAGCCCCTCCGTTTGCCCCCTCCCTGGCCCGAGCCCCTCCCCCTGGCCCTCCCTCCTGGGCTGAGCCCCTTCCCTGGCCCGAGCCCCTCTCCCTGCCCTCCCTCCTGGGCTGAGCCCCTTCCCTGGCCCGAGCCCCTCCCCCGGCCCTCCCTCCTGGGATGAGCCCCCTCCCCAGCCCGAGCCCCTCCCCCGGCCCTCCCTCCTGGGCTGAGCCCCTTCCCCGGCCCGAGCCCCTCCCCCTGGCCCTCCCTCCTGGGCTGAGCCCCTTCCCTGGCCTGAGCCCCTCCGTTTGCCCCCTCCCAGGCCCGAGCCCCGCCCCCCGCCCTCCCTCCTGGGCTGAGCCCCTTCCCCGGCCCGAGCCCCTCCCCCGGCCCTCCCTCCTGGGATGAGCCCCCTCCCCAGCCTGAGCCCCGCCCCCGGCCCCCGGCCCTCCCTCCTGGGCTGAGCCCCCTCCCCGGCCCGAGCCCCGCCCCCGGCCCTCCCTCCTGGGCTGAGCCCATGCCTCGGGCCTGCCGCGCAGCGCCTGCAGCAGCCATGTCGGACTACGAGAACGAGGAGGAGTGCTGGAGCATGCTGGAGAGCTTCCGTGTGAAGCTCATCTCGGCCATTGACCCCGCGCGCATCACGCCCTACCTGCGCCAGTGCAAGGTCCTGAACCCTGACGATGAGGAGCAGGTGCTTAGCGACCCGAGCCTGGGCATCCGCAAGCGCAAAGTGGGTCAGTCATGGCTCCTGCACGACCTGGGGGAGGGATGAGGGCCTGCCCCCAGCCCCTGGGAAGCCCCTCGCCACCCTACGCCAAGCTGAGGGCTAAGGCGGGCTGGACCAGCAGCTGTTGGTTCCTGGTCCGGACCCTGACACTTGAGCAGGAGCCCAGGGGCCCAGCCCAGCCTGGCGAGCCCCGCACAGCCACCCCTCCCAGCCCAAGAGCCTTTGGCAAGCCTGGCGGCCGCCCCTCCCAACCCCCTCTCTAACCTGCAGGTGTCCTCCTGGACATTCTGGAGCGTACTGGCCTCAAGGGCTACGTGGCCTTCCTGGAGAGCCTGGAGCTGTACTATCCACAGCTGTACAAGAAGGTCACGGGCAAGGAGCCCACCCGTGTCTTCTCCATGATCATTGGTGAGGGCTGCTGAGCCACAAGGCTAGACTGGTCACTGCGTGTGGAGCTGGGTGTGCGTCCAAGCGGTCAGATCCCACCCTGGCACAGGGATGCAGGGGTCTGAGCACGTGGGCCGTCGTCCGCTGCTTTCCCAGGATGCATCAGCAGGGGCCTGGACGGGAAGCCGAGCAGCGGGAATTGCAATGGTGCCCACGTTGGATGCCAGCTTGGCAGGAGGCAGCCTAATCTGCACAGCGCCAGCTCCTCAGGGGGTGCTTTGCCAGGGTTGTGCTTCCAAAATACTTGCCATGTCTTACGGCAAGCAGTTGATAAATGCTGAGACTTTTATTGAAGAAAACACACACACACACACCAGCCAGGTTCAGTCCAGTGTGGGACAGGACCATTCCCAGGGACACTCCTGTCCACTGCCCGGTTCTCCATGGTCCCCCGCTGGCCACAGGTGGGTGCACAGCTGGGGAAGAGTAGATGACCCCCACGGCAGCCACAGTTCCCAGGCCGCAGCCAGGGCAGGGACTGTGCGGGGCGGGCCAGGGAGTGAGGCTGTGCATCCCGCAGACGCATCGGGAGAGTCGGGGCTGACCCAGCTGCTGATGACGGAGGTTATGAAGCTGCAGAAGAAGGTGCAGGAGCTGACGGCGCTGCTGGGCGCCCAGGACGCGCTGGCCCAGGAGCTGCGGGTCAAAGACGGTCTGCTGCGCAAGCACCAGGAGCGCGTGCAGAGGCTCAAGCAGGAGTGCGAGGCCAGCGGCCGCGAGCTGAAGCGCTGCAAAGACGAGAACTTGGAGCTGGCCATGCGCCTGGCACGTCTGAGTGAGGAGAAGGGGGCGGCGCTCATGCGCACGCGAGACCTGCAGCTGGAGGTGGGCGACCCTGCGGGGCGGGGCGGGCCGGGGCGCCGAGCCTGCTGTGGGCTCCATGACCGCCCGGTGGGCGCCCGCAGGTGGACGAGCTCCGACACAGCCTGCTGAAGGCGGAGGAGGACTGCTCACTGGAGCGCAAACACACCCTGCGGCTGCGGCGGGACATGGAGCAGCGGCCCAGCCACGAGCTGCTGTGGGAGCTGCAGCAGGAGAAGGCGTTGCTGGAGGCCCGCGTGCAAGAGTTGGAGGCCTCGGCGCAGGTGGGGCCACGTGGGGCAGCCATGGGGAACCCGGCGGCCTTGGCCGGGGCGCCCCGACTCTGCCACCGTCCCCTTGTGTCCAGGAGGCGAAGCGGGACCAGAACAGCCCCTACGTCCAGGTGCTGGAGCAGGATTGGAGGCAGGCGCTGCGCGACCACCAGGAGCAGGCCAACACCATACTGGCCCTGCGCAAGGACCTCCGTCAGGGCCAGGCCCTCCGTACCCGGGTACGTGGCCTGCGGGGCAGAGAGATGTGACGGGGGGGGGGGAGGGCACAGACTCCTCCAGCCCCACCCCATGAGTGACACGCCCCCAGCCCCTCTTGTGGGTGACCACACCTCCCCAGCCCCTTGAGGTGGGGCCCGCCGCACCCTGTCCCAGCCAAGCTTGGGGTGGGGGTCCAGGCAAGGGTGCTGAGGCGTGGCGTCCACAGTGCGTGGAGGAGAAGGAGCTGTTTGAGTTGCAGTGCCAGGCCCTGCGCAAGGATGCCAAGATGTACAAGGAACGCATGGAGACCGTGCTGCGGCAGCTGGAGGAGGTGGCTGAGGAACGGGACCAGGTGGGCTTGCCCTGTCCCTGTCCCCAAGGGAGGGAGTGGCAGGTGCTGATGGCCCCGCCCTGCAAGCTGCCGCCCACCGGGGGTCCCGTCTTCTCAGCGGCGCAGGGCTCTGTCCCACACGCACCCCTTCCCTTTGGTTTGAAGTAGGGGAGGGAGTGCATCAGGCCACAGCCAGGAGCTGCTTCCAAGTCAGCTCCGCAGGTGCAGGGTCCCCTGGCTTGGGCCACCCTCCTCCGTGCTCTCCCAGGCCACAAGCAGGGAGCTGGATGGGAAGTGGGGCATGTGGCAATGAACTGGCGCCCACATGGGATGCCAGCGCCACAGCTGGAGGAGTAGCCTGCTGTGCTATGGCACGGGCCCCCTCAGTGCCTCCTACAAGGCAGAGTGGCTTCCCGTGGGTCCTGCGACATCCCGGGAGGTGTGGGGGGGAGAAGCTGAGTGGCGTCTCCCCAGAAACTTAAGGGATACATCCACTCTGCACAGCAGGGGCTCCAGTGGGAGGCGGGGCCTGGATCATGGACTGCCTCTCAGGCCAGGGGAACCTGAGGCTGTGCGGCAGACTTCCGGTCAGCAGGGCGGGCAGGTGCCAGCTGGCCTCGGGGCTGTCCAGTTGTCCCTGCTTGGCCCTAGCCAAGTTGGATGTGGCAATAGTTAGGGACAAAAATTGAGTGCTGGCCCCTGGGCCAGGTACCACGGGTGCCTGGCTCCCTGTGCTGTGGCCGTGGCTCAGGGTCCCACCCTGGGGGTGCCTCTGTCAGCCCCTCAGGCTCCTCCTCACATGGCAGCTAACAGCAGCGCCCCGCAGCTTTGAGCACACGCGTGCTCCATGCTGCCAGAGCACCGAGCGGGCAGCTCGTCTGGCACTTGCCTGCCATCCACTCTGCCCTGTGTGACTGTGATCCCCAAGCATTAGCTGCTCATCGGGCAGGCAGCCCTCCCCCCTCGCTGGCTTCCCTCCACTCCTGAGGGAACGGGGCATGGGCCAAGCTGATGCCAGGGGCTTCGGGGAGCTCCCTTGCGGGAGGCTGGATGCGTTTGCGGGCGGCTGGGTGGCAGGCAGAGTCGGGACTAGCCCCGGGTGCCCCCAGTAGCAGCCGAGGGTCACCCTGTGTTGTGCAGGCCATTGCCACGCGCGAGCAGCTGCACACACAGCATGCCCGCAGTCTGCAGGAGAAGGACGCACTGCGCAAGCAGGTCCGGGAGCTGGGCGAGAGGGTGGACGAGCTGCAGCTGCGAGTGTTCCAGTGCGAGGGCCGGCTCCGGCAGCAGCGGCCCGACGCCCCCGTTCTGGTGGGCCTCCCGGCCCCGGGGGTGGGAGGGAGAGCGGGAAGGAAGGGGTGCCTGGGCTCGATGGGCAGGTAGGGGGCCCTCACCCCGCTTGCTCACTGCTGCCCTTGTCCAGGAACCCCAGAGCTCAGACCTGGAGGACGACTCACCCCAGAATTCCCAGGAGGTGAGCGGAGCCCTCCCTGCCCCCTGAGCTCCCCGCCACCTGTGCCCTCAGATCCCTGTGCCACCCTGCTTGGGCCTGGCAGGGTTAGGAGGGGTGGTAAGATGTGCACACTGGCTAACAGCTGGCCCATCTCTCTTTGGGGAGCTGCAGTTCACCGGGGACCCGGAGGACACCCTGTTGTCCGACAGAGGTGAGGAGACTGCCCTGCCTACTGAGTCTTGTTGAGTCCTCAGCACGCGGCCACACACACACAGCCAGCTGCCTGTCCACCCTGCCCAGACAGAGGCAGCCTTCACAGAGGAGGGGCCGTGAGCACTGGACAGGAGCGCCAACGGCCGTGGGGCCTGTGTGCAGCTCTGAGGTCACCCCGGGTGTGGGGGTACACTCAGCATGCAGGGTAAGACCCTCCACTGCGAGCAGGGGTGGAGGGGGCGAGTGTGGGCCAGCTGAGGCAGCAGCTGTACTGACGGAGGTGGCGGGTGGCATGACGGCCAGACTTCCTCAGTCCAGCCTGGAGCCTAAGGGGAAGCGGTGCGAAATGCAGAAGTGGGTCATGGAGCTGGCATCTGGCCAATCCCACAGACGCGCCTTGAGGCCACGGAGCCCCATGTGGTCCAGCTCACACAGCTCCCCGCCAGGAAGGGGGTGTGGGAGGAACAGGGATGGGTGTCAGGGTGCTGGCCACCAGTGTGACACGTGCCCCCCGTGCCTGGCCAGCAGCACCCCTCAGTGTCCCCCAGTGCCCTCATGCCCAGCCAGCAGCTCCCCCCATGCCCCTGTGCCCAGCCAGCAGCTCCACCTCAGTGCCCTCCGGTGCCTAGCCAGCATTATCCCCTAATGCTCCCTGCCATGTCCAGGACCCTGGGCTGGACGCCCCATAACAGCTGAGGCGTGACTACAGACCCCACAGAGGCCCTGGTGATTCTTGGTCTGCTCTGCCGCCACCTGCCGTCCCGCCCCCCAGCCCCTGGCAGCTGCCCAGCCACATGCTCTGCCACTCACACCGGGCATAGATGGACCACTCTGGGCCCTTGCTGTGCCCACTCTGGCTCCACTGGTGGCAGGTGGAGGGAGGCGATGTTAGTGGGCTGGAACTGTGGGCCACGGGAGCTCCGGGCCTGGCAGTGCTCACCGGCCCCGAGGGTTCAGGCCCCAGACCGGGGAAGGGCAGTCGGTGGGCAGGACACACCAGGCAGGGCTCTGCTTGCAGGTGGCCTGGGGGTGACGGAGCAGCCCTCACTGACCCCCACCGGGACTGGGGTGTCCGGGAGGGGGTCCCTGCTGCAGCTGCCGCTCCTCCAGGAGGCAGGTGTGGGCAGCGAGCCCCCAGAGAAGGAGCGCCGGCGCCTCAAGGAAAGCTTCGAGAACTACCGCAGGTGGGCGCGGACGGGTGGCTGGCGTGACAGGGGTGGCAGTGCTGCCCACCTACCCACCTGCCCACCTGCCCACCCCGGGGGTCTCCACAGGAAGCGGGCGCTCCGGAAGATACAGGGCGAGGCAGACCGGGAGGCCACCACGGGCAGCGACAACTCGGACACCGAGGGCTCCTAGCGTCCCCCGCCAGAGCCCGCCTCGCCCGAGAGGGACCCCGCGCGGGAGGGCAGGCGGGCGGCTTCCCGGGGCCAATAAAGAGGCAACCGAGAATGGCTCAAGTCCTTGCACTCGCCGGCCTGGCCAGAAGCTGGACCCCGGGGGGACAAGGGTCGGGGTGAGGGGGACGGCCGTGGGGTGCAGGGACCGGTCCCGGGGTGCTTGGGGACGGCCGTGGGGTGCAGGGACCCGGTCCCGGGGTGCTTGGGGACGGCCGTGGGGTGCAGGGACCCGGTCCCGGGGTGCTTGGGGGACGGCCGTGGGGTGCAGGGACCGGTCCCGGGGTACTTGGGGACGGCCGCGGGGTGCAGGGACCGGTCCGGGGTGCTTGGGGACGGCCGTGGGGTGCAGGGACCGGTCCCGGGGTACTTGGGGACGGCCGCGGGGCCCGGAACGCTTGCGAGCGCGGCGCGGCGCCAGGGGGCAGCAGAGCGCGGCGCGCCGGCGGAGGCCGGAAGTGGAGGAGCCCCGCTTCCTCCCGTTGGCGCGTTCCCCGATGGCGGCGGCGAGGCGCGGGGCGTGACCGGGGCCGTGCAAGGCGCGGGATGCTGCGGGCGGCGCTGGGGCGCGTCCCGGGGCTGCTGGGGCCCGGCCTGACGCGGCTGTGGGGCCGCGGCGCCCGCCCGCAGGCCGTGAGGAGGCCCTGGGGCGCGCGAGGTTCGAGCTCCGAGCCGGGGCCCGCGGCGGCGCGCAGGGAGTCGGCGGGGACGCGCTACCAGCTCGTGTACACGTGCAAGGTGGGCGGGGCCGCCTGGAGGGCGGGGCCGCGCTCGGATAGGCGGGGCTCCCCGTGGGGCAGACCTCCCTTGTGGGCGGAGCCTCTGCGGAGCGGATCCTGCAGTGGGGCGGGGCCGCCCTCCGGTGGGCGGGGCTCCTCGTGGGCGGAGCCTCCAACGGGGCGGGGCCGGGCTCTCTCGTGGGCAGAGCCTCCAACGGGGCGGGGCCGGGCTCCCTCGTGGGCGGAGCCTCTAAGGGGGCGGAGCCGGGCTCCCTCGTAGGCGGAGCCTCCCGCGGGCTGCCCCCCAGTGGGCGGGGCCATCACTGCAGCCCCTCTTCTCCCGCCCTAGGTGTGTGGGACCCGCTCCTCCAAGCACATCTCCAAGCTGGCCTATCACCAGGGCGTGGTCATCGTGACGTGCCCCGGCTGCCGCAACCACCATGTCATTGCCGACAACCTGGGCTGGTTCTCAGACCTGGACGGGAAGAGGTGAGTGGGAGGTGTGAGTTTCTGGGGGGGTTTTGTTTGGGGTCTGGCCTTCCTTGTGGCACAGCACATGAAGCCACACCCTGTGCGCTGGCATTCCAAACGGGGGGCTGCTCCACTTCCCATCCAGCTCCCTGCTCAAGGCCTGAGCGCTCCTGGAGGAGCTCCTGGCTGCAGCCTGGCCCAGCCCCAGTGGCAGTGCCACCCGGGAGGTGAGGCCGACAGAGCGCCCCCGCTGGCTGGCTCCCCAGATGGTCACAGCATCCGGGGCAGGGAACCCCAAATTGTTGGGCCTGGGTGGCAGGGCCCCAAGAACTGGAGCTGTCCCCTGTGGCCTCCCTGGGTGGGCAGGGGCTGCCCTTGCCCACGCCTCCACTAGCCCCACCTCCCCACTTGGGGGGCTCAGAGAGCTGCCCTGTGGGATCGCCCACTGTCCGCGGGATGGCCGAGCTGCCCTGGCAGGCAGGTGTGTGCCTGGGCCAGCACTGAAGGGTGCCCATCTCCTGGACGGCCGGGCCACTGGTGGCACCTTCACCAGGTCCATGGGTTCTCACCTGACAGCAGCTACGGACTATGGCGTGGGCCTGGCCCTGGGCAGCTGGGCCAGCTGGGGCCGGGCGGCACCCCAGTGGGGTTCCACAGCTGGTGTGGCCCTCACTTGTGGTTCCTGGGGCGTGTCGGGGCTGCAGCCCAGCCTGGGGGTGCCCAGCCAGGGAATAGCACCATCGTGCCCCTCCCCCGCTCCCCAGGAACGTGGAGGAGATCCTGGCGGCCAGGGGTGAGAAGGTGCATCGAGCGTCCACGCCCAGCGAGGGGACCCTGGAGCTGCTGTCGGAGGCCACGGGGGCCCCCACACCCCTTGCTGCTCCAGAAGGGGCCCAGGATGAAGACCCCACCTGCCCTGGCAAGATGGAGCCCAAGTGACTGCCTGCTGGGGCCTGGGGGCTCCCCCCGGCCCTGCCTCTCCCTGCCAGTAAACAGATGCGACTGGTCACCTGCTGTGTGTCCAGGCGCTGTGAGCCCCAGGCGCTGTGCGGTGCTGTCATTGGGGGGCCCGCACCCCCACCTTCCAGTGCTGACAGCTGCTCCTCAGTGCACCCCAGGGGACATGTGGCCTTCACGTGGTGTGGGGGGGTGTTGTGGGCTGGGTGCCCCCCGGGATGGGGGCGCCAGGGGATGGGAGCTCCCCAATGTTCCCTGTGCATTCTAGCGAGTGCTGACTCAGTCACCCATCAAACACTCAGCAAACAACCCTCAATTATCCCGCCCAAGCTGCCTGGCTCCCCCAGCCCCCCAAGCACCAGCTGTGCAGGGTTGGCCCAGGCCGTGGGGGACAGCTCCCCTCCCTGCCTTGTGCTCGGGCGCCTGGCTGCACTGCCCCTGTGAGAACTTCCCTACCCTTCACACAGTGCGTGCCTGCAGGCCCCCTCCTGATGCCAGGCTCCTCGGAGCCTACTCTCAGCCCTACGCAGGCCTGGTCCCCCAGCACTGGCCCACGAGCCAGCCCCTGGTGGGCAGCCTTCCTCAGCCCTTTCTTCCTGTCCGCTCCCAGCACCTGGCCCAGGGCGGCCTTGGGACAGTTCCTGGTCTCCTCTGCTGTGCCTGGGTGGCCTGCCTGAGACATCTAGCCAGGGAAGGACACGGGTGCTGGGCACTCAGGGCTCCCTGTGTCCTGGACACTTCTGTCCCAACCAGGGGGGACACACAGTGGGACAGGGGGCTTTGCTCTCCAGGCTGCACAGTTGGCACCAACGCATCACACTGCCCTTGTCATGCTGTCCCGGTGGGGTGATGGCTGTGCCCCGTGTGCCAAGCCCACCTGTACCCCGTCCTGGGGTCTTGGTCTCCCTCCCTCCCGGTCCTGGGGAGGGCTGCACACCCCTCCACCGCAGGCCTCCTGTCACCTTGGTGGCTGTTGGGGAAGTCAGAGAGCAGTCCGTGTGTGGGGGGAGGTTGTGCCCGGGCGCTGCCCCGTGTCCCCGGGACCATGCCCTCACAGGCCCCAGGGCGGATGAAGCCGCTGTCTGGGACAGCAGTGGGCCTTGCAGAGTGGCCTGGAGGAATGACCCACAGGACACACAGTCCCACGGTGCACATGGCCCCACGGTGCCCATGACCCCCAGGTCCCCACAGTGCACACGGCCGCACGGTCCTTACCACCCTACACTGTCAGATGCAGCATGGTGTGGAGCCGGGTGAGGGACACCCTGCTGCCGTGCCACTCCCAGGCTGGCATTCAGGTGGCAGACTTTTATTTTCAGGACAAACACGTACCTTTCAGGTGGGAAGGGCCCAGGGAGCGGCCCAACACGTGGGGGAATTCAGGCTCAGCCCGAGCCCTCCCATGCCCAGAGCAGCTGTACCACGGGACAGGGGCCAGAAGGCCTCCCTGGGTCTGGAGGCACCTTTCTGGGTGGCCTGCCCCTCCAAAGGCTCACCTCAGAGGCCCCCACGGGTCCTGAGCCTGTGGCCCTGGGCTGACTGGGCAGGTGGTACAGGCAGTGGTGTCATTTCCCCAGCCCAGAGGGGTCTGTGGGGTTGGGCTGGGCCCCCTGCGCTCTCTACCCACAGCTGATACCCTTAGGGCCAGGACCCAGCATCCCCGGTCAGCACAGAGCTCGCTGCCAGCCAGGGTCAGCTCACGTGCCAGGTCCCAAGGCCACCATCCACCCCCTGGTCCTGCCTTCTGCATGGAGATGGGATGGCACTGACCGGGCACTTCCTGGCCAGCTGCCACAGAGCACTGGGCTCAAGTGGAGAGAGGCTGGAGGGCATGTGCCGTGGACTGGCTGGGGGGACCTGGCACGTCCAGGCAGCCAGCAGCCCCCTGGACACCTGAGGCCCAGACAGGGCTGGGGGGTGGGGCACTGCCCGGGAGAGGGTGGGGACAGCAGGGCTGGCATGCTGAGGGAGGCGGGGTTGGGCCAGGCCTGCTGCCCCTGGGGAGAGGGCCTGCTGGGCCTGGGGGCCGATACTGTGGGAAGGGCCAGTCCCAGGACGACTTGGTTCTCAGGGGCGCAGTCCCCAACTGGAGCAGCAGTGGGGGCTGGGAGGCCTTAGCTGGGGCTGGGCTGGCACTGCTGCCGAGGCTCCGGGGGCCCCCCGGCTTCCTGCTCTGGGCTCGTGGCCAGGTGCACCCGCTGCTCGTCCATACGCTTGGCCTGCACCCTCTGGATGAGGCTGAAGAAGTCCTCGTCCGGCATGGTGGGGCCTCGGGGCAGCACGTCGGGGGGCGGGCAGCGCTGGTCGTCAATCCGGGATGACTGCGGGACAGGCGGGGCGTCAGCGGGCTCCTGGGTGGGGCCGGGCTAGCTGCTTGCACCCCCTTGGGGAGCCGACTGTGGAGCCCGCCTGGCCCTTAAAGATGGTCTCCTGGTGACTGTCCCCCCAGACCCTGGGGCCTTCCACCCGCCCACAAGGGGGCTAATCCTGCTCGGGGTGTGGTGAGCTAG